CTTCACCCACGACAAAAATCCGTAAGCACCCAATCGTACCACCTGTATCTTTATTTGATAACAATTATGGGAACGAAATCTTTATCTTTCTTGTGAACAGTAAACAATACAAAAGAACGTGTACGTTTTAAACAAATTCTCGCGGCTATAACATTGAATGTTATTGTTAAACTCGAACGCTTCTCGCTTTATTTACATTTAGATATGAATGATTGAAACGTGAGAAAAACATACTTTATCGGAATTAATATCAATATTTATACCAGGTATCCACAAAGACGTCTATGTCTAGAAGCGAAGGGGGCGATTTATTGCTAAAGTCGTTTGTAAATAAATACGTTTTGCGCACCTGTTACAAAACTTAAGTCATGAGAATGAAAAGGCCACTGCCCCACAATATTGAATAGCGTCCCCTAGTTGAATTTATTTGGGGAAAGAGAGCATTGGGTTGGAAGAATCCCTCCATGCATTCCTAATTGTGAGGCTCAAATAGTTCTACTACATTCAGGATTTCTAAGTCCATCAAAGAACGCCATGTCACAAAAATCAATTACTTTCTTGCTGTCAATTGTAATTTCCTGAATATTTGTAAAAAATTTTCGCTTCAAACCTAACATAGATAAAAATATCTACAATTTTATCATTGATATCCGTACAAAATTAACTTAAGAATTTTAGAGTTATTGAGAATTATTTAGAAATTGTAGGAATTGAGAGAGTTCGAAAATTATCCACGCAATTCCGGAAATATAGGAATTGGTGTATAAATTTTAGTCAAGGAATGGTTGCACATCACACTGGGTCCCGGGATGATCTAGTCACGCTTGGTAGTTTTATAATCCTTGATGCGCAAACGGAAGCTGGCGTGCCTTCCATATTGCCGTACTCCTGTCGCACTTAATTCTCTTTTTGCGCACGTACACGTCTTATCCTTACATTCCATTTTAAACTTACTTTGTGTACTACGACATGATAAATTAACACGTTAATGATTCCTTTTTTATTAGATCGTCTCTGGATAAGAGATTTCAAAATTTATCTACAAGATAATAAAGTACCTATCAAATCAATGGACTCATTCCAAACGAGGGGAATATTATAAAGAAATACGCTAAATTAATTTAAAAGGCGCAAGAAATTTAAAATAGCTCTTTAACTAAGAAAAGGAACAATTCCAATTACTTTTAAATCTAAATGAATTCCACATGCCATAAAAGAAAATGTAGAAGTAGAACTGAATCCTATCAAAAATCATTATCAAATTCAAGAGTGTGTAAGTTTCACCATTTGTACGGGAGCATTTAATGGGGTTTACTTTTTTTTGATTTTCGGAGAATTGGGTAAAGTTATATTTCGATAGCGTCCCGCATGGCTATAAATTTGGCAGTATAAAGTGTACAGAGTGTCAAAATTAGAGGGTCGATCTTTCCAAAGTAGTCCTTAAGTTTATGGTAAAATTGGCTGTCTATAGTTTTTTCATGTCATTGAGTTCCTTATACGTTTTGACTGTCAATTAGCTCCGGAAGGCATTTGCAGTGGACTATGTTATGTTATTTGAGTCAACGTGACCAAAACTGCCTTAGAAGTGGGTGGTGTGTCATTGCAATAGCCGAGGAAATGCAAGATTGCACAAGCTTGCAAGGGATTTTGAGTTAGGGCTGTAGAGATGCGCAATTGTTGGATGTTAAACCAATCAAAGGGGTTAATGATTAGAAATGGCCAGTTTCATTGATAAAGCACCATTTTGTTGTTTTAATTAATCATGAAAGATAGGATGAGAGGAGTAGGTAATCTAGAGAAAATGAATGAAGCGAATTTGTAATGGTGTTAAATTAACTTGTTTAATTTTGTGGTAAATTCAAAAACAATGACGGTTTACACTATAGCGTAAAGCCAAAGGGTGGAAATTGTTTCAATTTTTTAAAAAATGGCGACTCTGCCTTCACAAATTCGCTTCCTTGCTTGTGCACTTATGTCAGACGGTTCTGACACAAGCTCTCAATTATTTTAACTTAACCGCCTTCTTAATAAACATTTAAAACGGCTCTGCAAATCCATTTCAATCGAGTTTTCTCTGGAACTATTGATCGGATTTGAACAATAAAACAGTTCTGAAAACATAAACATTGCTTTCGACCTAACATTAACTACCCCTTCCTATTTAAAATTGGTGGGGTGCATGTCACCCCCTTCTCAGGGTTAAAGAGCGTTGGACTATAAATCCGGAGGTCGGGTGTTCGAACCTGGGTTGAGGTGAATTTTTCATCTGTGGCTGAGATGGAAATTACCTTGGACCAGTTTCGAGCATTCTGCCGGCTACTCCGAGTTAGGTTTTCCTGCAGTCTTCCTAATTCGTAAGGTAAATACTGGAGGAGTATAGAACAACTTAAGACCTTCCACAGAGACACCTCTAAAAAGCATGATGCAGGTCACTCTGTAATTGGGCGCAAGCCTGTTAAGGGCCCAGAACAAGAGAGGGATAATAAATAAATAAATTATGTAAGTAGTATTACTTAATTTAGGTGTCCTCCTCAAAACTAAAATTGTCGTGTTCGAGCGTTTCTGGTAAAACTGTCGTTAAGTTGGCAAAATTGGCATCGACTATATTCAGTGGACCACCCTGTATATCCGGTCAAACTCAAATGGAGCTAGCGGTTTTCCGGCGGAAATTAATTAACGTACTGGGACTTACGCCAAAAAGAGATTATTTTTCCTACTAAGAGAAACGAATATTGAAAAAATCCAGTGAAAAAAGATTAGTTTAAACGGAGGGAGGGGGGGGTAATGCCGTTAGTTGCTAAAGAATGCGCATAAATAGCGTACATTTCGATTAGTTATGGAAATGGCAAGCGGCACATCTTGTATTTAACATCGAAGTGATCTGGTAGAATTTTGGTACAAATAAGCACATACTGGACAAGTTTAATTTAATTTTAGTTGTTACTGCACTTTTGCTTGTTTGTATCCGAGCTGCCATTTCAACAATGTCTCAGGTTAAGTCTTTAGAACAGCTTCAAGTAGTGGCAGTTAAAGTTGGGAAAAAACGTTTGTTGTGGTAGAAGCAAAAATCCCGTCTTATGCAGATAAAAGTACTGAACGTTCAACGTCCGCGTATTCCGCCTAGTTTTCAAAATTCAAAGATAACCTTGCACCAATTGGAGGCAGTCATTCCTTCATCTCCATAAGGATATTCTCAAGGAGGTATTGTCAATTTCCATTTGTATAAAATAAAAAAATGTACGTGGAAAATATAGTTGTTTAAGATTAAAGTATACCTATAATATGGCATTCATGTGGGGCTACCGCGTTCAGCGAGACAATGTTCCACTGTTTGAAGGTGTCATATTAGCACTGCACGCAATAATTAGGTTCACCCATATCAGAAAACAAATTGCGGTCTCTGGTCAAGGTAAACAAAATTTACACCTGGTTTAAGAAACAAGCTTAGGAACTCGTTAAGTACACGTTTATTTATTGCCGGTGGTGAAACTGCCATTTAGCTGCTAGTTCGTGGCGACAATTTATTTTTTGGGAAAAAACAGATACGGCAGCTGTTATAATTATAAAATAAATAACTCATAATCACATATGCAAGTCAAATCTAAATTTATAAAAAATAAAATATTAAAATTTGAGTTCGATCGACGCATACAAATGACAGTAGATATCATCTTGGAACATTTCGAACTCATGTTCACCACTGACTTTTACCGGATTAATTAATTATATAAATTCGTCGCACGGCTTATGTGAACATAATCTTTTTAACACAAATTAGGCAATGGTAATATTTGCGTTATTTATAGATGAGTGCACGTTTTAACGGATTCGGATCTGACTTTGTAGTGTAAATGATGATATTAGAGATCCCGTAGAGAAAATGCTGGAAATTATTATGGTTGTATAACAAGTTTCGAATTCATTCGTTCGTTAACTAAAGGTCGATTTAGTTCGACATTTAGTTTCTGGAAACAACCTCAAAGCCTATTTCAAAAGACCATCCAATTTTTATATCTCTTTTCCGTAGCATTGCCACTTGAAAATTTTCTGAATTATGAGCATCACATTCACTACCAAATGTTATCAAGTTATTTTATTATTATTATTATAAAAAAACATTTTATCGAATCCGATACAAATTCATTGGATTCAGTAACATTTTTAGAACTGTAGTTTAAAGGCATCAGGTGGGCGTAAACAACATTACTGTAAACAAAAACTGGATGCAAGCGAAATTCACTTCAATTAACATTCATTGACGTAAGCGATACGACCTAGAATCGCTTAAAATTCAAAGCATTAAATTATTTTGTAACTATTGTTACAAAGCGTTAGGAAAGTTTGAAGCAGACTCGATGGAGGGCGGCTGTGATGGAAATGTAAAATAATGACTTCAAAGAGGTGTGAAGCTGACTCCAAATGAGATGGTTCAAAATAACTACGAAGGGGGTTGAAGCGAATGCAGAAGGCGTGAAGAAAGCGTGATGGGGGTTTGACCGAGGAAGATGTGAAGGTCCTGAAAAAGACTGGCGAGGAAAGTTTGAAGGAGGCGTGAGTGATACGTAAAGGAGACATAAAGGAGAATAAGGAAGAAAAAATGACGAGACGGTAAAGAAGATCGAAGTAAATTTTTATAAATTATGCAAATACATAAGTTTCATAATTACATAATATAATACACTTGGCTCAACAAGATGATATAAGGTACCATAAACCGAAAACCCATATTCGAGTTTGGCGGAGTGCCCTATCTGCTATCACTTATTGGCTTCAATCGCCGACTCTTTATTGGAGTTACTCAAGAATAGCCGATAATGAGTCATTTTGTGACATGGTGATACAAAACAAACTTACGCTCATAAAATTAAACAGATAACCATTATTTCGGTTCCGAGCACCAATCATACCAACACACGATTATGTAGGTACTCGATAAGATTTCCGTGTATAACAACAAAAATCGATGAAACATTGATTTCCAGTTCTCCATTCCGTATTGATAATGAAGATATTGTACGCAGTCGTACTTTTAACCCTTAGCGCGTTAAATCAAGGTCAAGAACTTGAAGATAATGGGATTGTGATCCTAACAGAGAAAACTTTTACTGAATTCATTAAGAGCAAAGACAACGTTCTTGTAAAATTTTGTAAGTATCAGACTAATTTCTTTAGCATGAGGTAAATTTGCAAGAGCATTGTTGAGTATCTCTCCTTTCAGATGCACCAGACTGTAAAGTTTGTAAATCATTCGATCCGGAATACACCAAGATAGCAAAAAAACTAATTCAAACGGGTTCGTCGATTGCGTTAGCAAAAGTCAACGCAGTTGAAGAAACCACTCTTAGCAACGATCACACAGTGACTGGATATCCAACACTGAAGCTATTCAAAAACGGGGTACCCATAAAATATTTAGGTATGGTAAGGTTTTTTATTGCGATTACTGCACGATCTTTCTGTAGGCGGACGAACAGCTGAAGAAGTTGTTACGTGGCTCAACAAACATACTGGACCACTCGCACATATTCTTAAGGAAATCGAAGAAGCCAAAGCGCTAATTGCAGAAAGTCAAGTGATTACAGTAGGTTTCTTCAAAGATCAATCTTCGGAAGCTGCCCAAGTGTTCCTGCAGGTTGCTGCCACTGACGACAAAATTCCTTTTGGAATAACATCCGAGGAGCGCATATTCGAACACTTCTCTGCGAAAGATGGCGACATTTTCATGTTTAAAAAGGTGTGTACATATCGGCCAAGCTCAATGAGAAATTAACCGTAATTTCAGTACGATGACAAGCTGGTGCAGTTCAAAAACGAGTTGAATGAGAAGAATCTCCGGTCCTTTTTAAAGGAAGCTTCACGGCCACTGTTAATCGAATTTAACATACACGTAGTCCAGATGCTAATGGTGGGAGATGTACAAGACTTCCTGGTCTTATTTTTAAGCAACGTGGACGAAAACCCGTCCGGAATCGTGGAAGAGGCGAGATCTGTAGCAAAAAAGTTTAAGGAAAAAATGCTGTTCATTACTGCCGATCCGACTCTGAAGGAAAATCAGTTGATATTGCAATTTATGAAAGTGAAAGAACACGAATTGCCTGCCATGCGTATAGGTAAAAATCTAACCGACCTAAAGGTGTTCCAACCGAAAACTAGCGAAATTACGGCTGAGACCATCGAAAGATTTGTGAGGGATTATTTTGACGGGCACCTTGCCAGTGAGAGTTTGCCTGACGACTGGAATAAAGGTCCCGTTTATACGCTCGTCGCGAGTAATTTTGATGAGGTCGTCTTTGATGCTGACAAACATGTTTTGGTTGAATTTTACGCACCGTGGTGTAAGGCGTGTATAGATATAGCACCAATTTACGAAAAAGTAGGCAAATACTTTAAACGCAATGATAAGGTCATCATTGCTAAAATGGACGCGACCGCCAACAGCCTGGAACATACTGTTGTTGAGCGGTATCCAACAATTAAACTATACCCTAAAGGAGGAAACGAAGTTTTGGAGTATGAAGCCAGAGTAACGTTCAAAGATTTAATTAAGTTTGTGCAACAGGGCGACCCGGAGATTACAGGATATGATAGCGACGATAAGGATGAGTTGTAAAGTTGCGACTTTAGTAAACAATAGATAGGAGTTTTCGCATCTTTTAATATTAGGAACCTACTGACTTTAAGAATGTTGTGATTTTTCAACACATTTGCCTCAAGATTAGGCCTCTTGGAGCTTACGCTTGGACTCCCATACTCGTCCCTTCTACTTTAATGCAATAACAGGAATGCGTGTAGAAAATGCATGAATTAGAACAAGAGTACTTTTCCTAAAGCCTTTAGTGGAGTGGAAGAAGGGGATGCGAAGTTTACGTTCCACGTCGTGATGGTATTTCCCAAATATCTACTGATCGTTAGATCACCTTCACCTTAGGGAAAACCGCCTCTCGTTCAAATTCCTGAGTGAAGTCAAATTCTTGCGTGGGTTGATGTGTCCTCAATACGAAGATAGACCGGCACTACCTGAGAAAAAATAACGAAGTTGCATTTCAGACTTCAACACTGTTAAAATCTAAGACAGCTATGGAATAGCAAGGCGATCCTTTCAATGAATCGTGGAGGCATCATGTTATCCTCTTAGGGGGCTACGTTTTAACCCCAAAATGGTGCATTAGATTAGAAAATGCTCTGTTGAGGTGGCAAGCTCCTTCAAAAACCCCTGTTCTTAATCAGGGTGATAGTACAGTGTGTAGTTTCAAGAATGAGGGCCATCGGTACTTGCCCTTTTGAACAAACGGGATACTTTTACGCGTTATCTGGCCATGATCCAGGACATGAATTGAGTGAAAAGAATGAAATGGAGCTGAAATTCGCCTAGTTTCAACAGGATGGGGCTACAGCCCACACATATAGGCTTTACGTAACATTTTTTCAAATCTGCGGACTAAATCAACATGTTTTGTCATCCATTTGACTTGTCAACCCTCCTGAAGGGTTTGAAACTAAATGTATTGCGAAAAGTGACAACAATGAAACGTTAAATACATTTTTTTAATATAATGATTTGACTATATCCTTATTTTTGCACTATATCTCATAGTGTAATGATCGTTTTCCATATACACATATTGTTTTGGATTTTGGAAGTAAATAGTTGGCTTTCTGCACAAGATATTAATATTAAATTGGCATATACCACAGCAATCGTAACATTACGAGGTATTGTGGTAATGGAGTATATAATTTAGCACTTCTAGACTTCTGAATTGATTTTTCTATAAAGTAAAGAATTAAAAGATTTTGTCATGTTAAAGATATGACGGGTTATGATGATTTAAATAATAATAATTAATGGTAGCCGCAATGCGAAATGCTTGTTGTGCTTATAGTCAAGTCATGCACATTCGACATGCTCCGCATAGCTGCAAGTATTTCAATAATAAAACTTGTGTGCAAATTATTACGTTTTTAAATCAAATTTATTTGCTGGTAAATGAAAAAAAATTGCCTTGCAGTACGGCCCGCGGTAAAATTTTACCTTTATAGGTCAATAGCCAGCGACCATCATTCACAGTATACGCGCAAACAAACTATGTACTGGTCCTATCAAAACATTCAATTTTAATCATATGATATGCCAAATTCTAAAAGCAGTTTTGGAATAACCTAGTAAATGTAACTGCATTTATTAGGATATTCTAAAACTGCTTTTGGAATTTGTCATATTAGTATGGCTAAAACTTTCTCCGCCTCTTTGATGTGGTTGGACCCTCATCGTGCTCTACCACATCATCCCCTGGATCATCTTCCATTTCCTCCATCAGTTCATTGCAAAGGTCCTCTTCATCTTCCTCCAAGGATGGGTGGTAAATGCTTCTTCCTCAAGAGAAGCGTTGGAACACGCTTTGCCTTTACCATTCGGGCTGATTGTGTAACATTTAAGTCCTATCTTTCGATAGGTGCACCGCGGCTTGCACCCCAATTGCAAGAGATGGAGTGAAGTACCTCGGTGAGGGCAAGTTCTTTTGAGGTGGATATTGGCACAAAGCCAGCCCGTGTTGTTTTCCACCCTTAATCTAGGTGGTCTTTTTCCTTTTCACACCACGCGTGTACCTGATGGTACGCGCAGAGGGAGTGTTTCCTTACTGCTGCTGAGGTAGAATGGAGGAATGAGAGGCTGTGCTTCTGCCAGAGTACACTCCAACCAATAACTTTACCTCTACACTGACCACTTCATCCTGGGATGCATCAGGGTTTTGACAGTTTTAGACAGCATCCTGCCACTCTGTCTTTTCTGTTGAAAAAATGTCGATGAGTGTCTGATTGATGGCTTCTTATTTTCTCTGGCCACAGATTCGGCTGACGCAACTCGAATTGGCCCTGCTCTGCCCCTCACTTCTTCAGATACAGTTAACAGCGACAGAGGAGAGGTCCTTCAGCAGGAGGTGTTTTTTCTCTATCTCTAGTTTGCTCTGTTCAATCATTGACGCGATTCCTGATTCCTCGATTGTAATACACTACTTATTCCTGTTGTGACCGTCATGATGACACAAAGTCAATCTTGATCACATCACTTTCAAATCAACGCGAATCGCGATTAGGAGTTCGAATTCGTGAAAATTTGACAGGCGCATTCGAACCCAAAACTTCAACGGAGAAGGGCCCAGCTTTCGTGCTCGAGATATAGGAGGGGATGGGAGTTATTTATTATAACCTAAAATCAGATGGAAGTCTGAAAATTTCGTTTTTTCGGTACCAAAAGGTATGTTCCCCTGGAGGGCCACACATTAAAGTGCGTTATACGGGCAACATGGGATTAAAACACATATCTTATTCCTTTGCTATATAATATTCGACTTCCGAGAGAGATTCGCCGGGTCTCATTTTTTAAAGAGTCGATTTGAACTGACCAACACCCGAGCCCAAATAGCCAAAATTCGAGAGGCTATACTTTAGAAGGTACACGAATCCCGCCCAGTGTAAGGGCGTTAAGTGAAAAATGACGTTATCCATTTCACACCTGCTCCTCTCTCATTCAGCACCTCACTCCTACTGCTCCCTGTCATTTCCACCTCCGTAGAGTTCCATGTGTTATATGTCTTCTTCCTCTCCCCATATTCTACATTTCTTCTTCGTGTCCCCATTTTTCCTTCTCTCTTCACTTCCGCATCTCAATCTCGCTATTGTTTTAATATTCTTTCGTTTTTCCCACAAATACCTTGGTAACCGCTCCCTTATTAGGTTATAACTACTGCTTTCGCGTGCGCTCTCTATCTTCACTCTCGTTGTATTTATTCATTCAGATCCGTTTTTGCCAGCTCATTTTCTAACTACTCTCCTCTTTTCAAACTCAACCCGTTCGTACCCATGTCTTTTGTAAGATTTGCCTCTTCGTTTTCCCACCTTCCTTTTGCGTTCCTGGTTCTCAAGCAATTCGCTTTCTCTATCGCCCCTTTCCTCAGATCTTATCGCCCTGCACTGCGATCTTTTCCATTTTTGTTTCTTACTCTAATATTCCATTTCGTCTCTTTTTGTTTAACCCTAAGCCCATTTATAATATCTTCTTGGTACTTCTTCCAGTTCCTCCCATTCCTTCACTCCCACCCCCACATCTCCCTTCCGTGCATGAGCACCACTCTCACAATCTCTTGTTCTAAAAACATTCTTAAAGATGATCGCCATCAACCCCGTTTTCTTTAATTCTCTTATCTGCGCACTTGTGCCATTGTATTTTTGCCTTTGGGACCCTAAATATTTAAATCCTTTCACCTCTTTCCCCTCTTCTCAAGTCTTTTCGAGTTTTTTAGATTTAGCTCCATTCCTTTTCTTTCCCAATACCTGTCTATTCCTCCCAATATTTCCTTAATCTGTTCTGCCCCTGTTGCCTTGATCACTGCGTCGTCAGCTTCCCACTACTATCTCTCCACCTTGGCTCTGTCTGAATAGTTTTTCCATGTCTATTACGTAGAGAATAGGGTTGAGCTGAGGTGAGGGAGGCCCCCTTAGCTCTTACTCCTTTACATCTCCAAAACGCTCCTTTCCGTCTATTTTTATCCTCAATCTTGTCTCTCCATATAGTTCTTTGATTCCATATGTTTGGTGCACTTTCACTAAAAAAATAAAAAGTGCACTTTTGCGCTCTTAATTGTCTGTCTGTTTCTCTGTCTGTCACAAAGGATCCGGAACTACACTACACCACGTACAGAATTGGTATTGGTACCAATCGATCAGAACTTAACAATTATTTCATGTTCGTATTCTCGTTAAGACATAAAATGTTCATAAGGGCTATTAAATTCGAAAAAACAAATTTGTGTGTGCACTCTTCGACTCATGCTAACAAGCGGCTTAAAGAATGTTTTCCCTTCCCTCGCTGTCAAGCGCTGTCGTTACGTCGATGAAAAGGGCCTTTCCACCTTTCCACCCTTCTTTGCCAATTCCATTTTCCACCAATCTGTATCATTGCATAGATTATATACACCGTAGTCAATCTCATTGTAGTCATTTCTCTATAGATTCCTACACAATCTTTGTTCCCTCTTTTGAAGATCGGCACAATTATTCCTTTCCATTTTTCGGGTAAACCCCCTCCTTTCCTCTTTCTTCTGCTTTTCTTGTAGTAGCTAACAAAATGTTGTTTCCATTTCTCTAATTGTATTTCCCTCCCACCTGTTGTATTTTTCCTACGTTTATCACCTTCCAAAAACCATTTTCTGTTTTTATGACCATGATTTGCTCTTCGTATGCCTTCTGTTTCTCCATTTTTTTTCTTTATTATTCTCTCACCTCTTTCTCCTCTATTTCTCTTTTCCTTACTTTCTCCATCATTTCTCTATACCTATTTCTCTCTTCTGTACACTCTTTGTCCCACCACTTCTTTCTTTTTTCCCTTCGCTCTCCTTCAGTTATTTGTATCCACGCTCCTTTATATTCTGCATTCCCTCCCATTTCCTCTTCTTGTTCCTCTAGTTTCTCTCTATACAGCTCCACCGTGTCTCATGTCCATAACTGTATCTCCCCTTCGTGTTTGCCTCTTTTCAATTCATGATCTTCTCATCTGCTCATTTAGACTCAATTCCACGGGTTGGTGATCCGATTCTATTTTTGTTCCTATCTTAAATTCATCTATTTCTTCTAGTATTTTTTCATTTACTGTTGTGCAATCAACTACCGACCTCTCTCCTCCTCCCGTGTTGCCCGTCTCTGTCTTCTTCCATAGTCCCGTTTAAAATCCTTTAACCTCTCTTTTTTGATATTTCCAGAAACATTCTCCCTCTTGGTTGCACTCCTGATCTTTCGATTTTCTATCTTGTAATTCCTGTTCTGGCATTAACATCTCCCCTCCTGCTTCCTTTCATCTACCATATTTTCTACTTTACTTTTTGAATCCATCATTCCTTCTCTGTTGTACATCGTTACCGCTATCATTTTTTTTTCTCCACTTTCACTCGTCTGACCTGTATTCCTTCCGCTTCTTTTGTTTCATCCCCCCATTCCATTTTCCTTTTTTTTAACGCGGTTAGTATATTTATAATTTTATATTGTAACTTACGCAAATTGGTTCTTCTCGGAATCCTGTTCTTTATTTTCTCCCAATTCTTTTCTATGATTCTACCATTCCCACGACATCGTATCCTCTTACAAACTCCCGGGTACATCCGCTCTTTTATTTAGTTTTCCCCTTTTCTTCTGTTGTTTGTGTCAGTACCCTCTTATCTTCCCTGTTGCTGTTAATTTCTTCCTCCAAACCCCGCTTTTTCATCTCCCGTTATTTTACTGTTATTGTCCTTTCCTCTTTCTCTTTTCCCAACCTTTATAATGTCTGTTTGTATGCCTCTTTCATCATATGTCTCGCAATCTATGTATATCCCACCCTCCTTTAATTTTCCTTTCTCCCTCGTAACCCCCCTCTTCTTGTTAGTTCCGCCATTACTATCTTATTTGCCCTTGCGTCAAATGTTCTCGCCTCTTTTACATTCGCTTTTACTTGTACGTTTTTTTGAAACTATTTCTCCGTTCTCTCGCCCTCTCTCCCCTTTTTGCTTTTTTATATCTCTACTCTCTTTATCGTTATGCTGCCCTTTGTTTTATCTCTTTTCTCATTCGCATTCTTATCCTATTGCGCTTCCTTTCTTCCCCCAATCCTCATGTTCTCTTCCACCGCCTTCTCTTTCATTTCATCTATATGCCCCTTGGTCTCATTAGTCGCTCTTCTTATTTCCTTCTTTACTCCTTCCCTCATTTCGCTCCCTTCCCCTTTTTCTATTCCGCACCCTCTCTCCTCTTCCGCTTTCCTTTACTCTGGTGATCTTATAACTTTATATTGCTGCTTCTAAACACTTCGTACCATTCTTCTTCCTTTGCTTCTTTCCTTGTTTTTATTCCCTGGGCTCATCCTCGACCGCGTTAGCGACGTGCTCGCCTCAACAGCTAGGCGGCATTCGTCCCTCCCAGCCTTTTCACTACTGAGCCCTCCAACTATAACTATCTCGTTATAGCCGAGCTGGCGTCTAATAAAGATTGATTGTATAATTACCTATTAAGCAGAGCAGTACAACTAAATTTCCTCTACCTATTATGATTTTTGAGTTACAATAGCGTAGGGAGATTTTTCAAATATTTTACCATCAAGTTGAGTGAAATGACAACATCCAGTTTAGGCTACTTTAGGAGCTAATTCGACTAGACTATTGGTTCACAATCAATACATAGTATGATTTTGACCCTAATATTGGAGTAAGTGATCATTTGAATGTAATCATCAGTGTGGAATGGTATGGAGCGGTAATAAACGGTTTGGGACGGTATGGAATGGTATGGAACGGTATGGAACAGTATGGAACGGTATGGAATGCTGTGGAGTAGTATGGAATGGTATGGGACGGTATGGAATGGTATGGAATGGTGTGGAATGGTATGGAATGGTATGGAATGGTATGGAATGGTATGGAATGGTATGGAATGGTATGGAATGGTATGGAATGGTATGGAATGGTATGGGTATAGAATAGTATTAAATAGAATAGAAAAGAATGATATGGAATGGAACTGATTTACAGATAATGATATAATTTTATTTGCATCGAATGAAAAACATGTTCAAAATGTTTATTTGTCCACTTAAATTGACATTACTATCAGAGCTTCACTGATTTGATATTAGAGAGTACCTAAAACTACCCATCCTTTTAAGGTTTCAGCATATTTCAGGCCTAGAAATTATTCTTTCTCATTTCAAACATCGATTACTTCTGTTTAAATTAATAAATTGAGTTTATTCTGTATGTAATGGTATTAACGCACCGAAAAGACATTTGAGATTGTTGATTTGATAAGTAGATATAAGTGTTTTTTAATACCCGACAAACCTTGGAGTGCCACTGTACTTAAAAACATGCCACTTCTGATGGTGAAGGTCGCCAAAATTACATAAAATGTTAAATATTGCAGTTTGTTAACTCAGCATGGTTTCCGTAACTGTCTCTTTTGAGACTAGATGTCTTGGAACGGATTTTCCAAACGCCTCGTTGAACCCCGATAAAAACAATATGGTTATACAGAAATTGTTTTAAAGGAAAAATTGTGCTCGAGCTAGGAAATTGATAACTGTTCTGATAACTAAACAGAACAGATTACGTGCGCCAATCACCTTATTTTACCTACTATTTTACAACACGTAAGCGTTCCGATTTTTATATAAAATGCCGTCTTAAAACATAATTAATTAGCTTCCTTTTTTGGACTCTGCGTTGTAAGTTGAAGATGTTTGTGCTATTTTTAGTGTTAACTCTAACTGCATCTTGTCGCGGTGAGGTCGAGCTAGAAGACGGGGTTGCTGTACTCACAGACGACACGTTCGATGAATATATTGGTAGCAGAGATTATGTTCTTGTGGAATTTTGTAAGTACTTGTATTTCATATAATGCACTTATTAACTTATCCTACTTCACAGATGCGCCATGGTGTGGTCACTGCAAATCTCTAGCTCCCGAGTATGCAAAAGCGGCACAAATTTTATCGGAGGCCGAATCGCCGATTACTTTGGCCAAAGTTGACGCAACACAGCAAAACGCGCTTGCTGAAAAATACAAGGTCTCTGGATATCCAACGCTGAAGTTCTTCAAAAATGGCAGCCCCATCCCCTACACGGGTATATTGCGGCAATTAAAAACGTGACTGCTGAACAAATGATTTTTCCACAGGTGGACGTGTAGCCGAAGGCATTGTGATTTGGTTGAACAAAAGGATTGGTCCTTCAGCGCAGGACCTCAAGAGCCCCGAGGATACAAAAGCTTTGATTGACCAAAATGAGGTAGTAACCGTGGGATTCTTCAAAGATCAGTCTTCTGCAAATGCTGCGGTGTTTTTGGAGATGGCTGATAGCAACGACGAAATGGTTTTCGGAATAACATCCGATGAACATGTATTCAAACAGTACTCGGCGAAGAATGGCGATATTTTTTTGTTTAAAAAGGTTTGTACCACTCCGCCTGTACGACTAATTCATAAGTCTCATTACAGTACGACGATAAACTAGTGCAATTCAAAGGTGAATTAAATGCGGAAAACTTGAAACGCTTTTTAGAAGACGCGTCGCGGCCTCTTGTTTCAGAAGTTACCATTGCTTCAGCTCGAAAGCTTTTTAGTTCCGAAATAAAACATTTCCTATTATTAATTTTAAGTAAATCAAATGAAAAATCTTCCAAGTATGTGGAAGCGCTGAGGTCCATTGCGAAATCTTTCAAGCAGAAAATGATATTTGTTACAATCGATTCGGATGTTGAAGAAAATGAAGCATTTATGCAATTTTTGAAGGCGACCGCAGATGACGTGCCTGTCATGCGCATTATCCATGATTTTTCGAATCTGAAGAGGTATGTACCGAAATCCAAAGAGGTTACAGCTAAAAGCATCGATAAATTTGTCCAAGACTACTTTGATGGTAAACTCGAACGTCATCTTCTGAGCGAAGATCTACCTGAAGATTGGAACAAGGGACCTGTTTATACACTCGTCGCGAGCAATTTCGATAGCGTCGCTTTTGATACTACAAAGGATGTTTTGGTCGAATTTTATGCACCGTGGTGTGGATTCTGTAAAAAAATAGCTCCTATTTACGAAGAAGTTGGTGAATACTTTAAGGACAAAGATGACGTAATTATCGCAAAAATGGATGCTACGCTTAATGAATTAGAGCACACCAACGTTCGAGGATTTCCCACCATTAAATTTTATCCCAAAGGAAGCACTGAGGGAATCACTTTTGAAGGCGACCGTTCCTTTAAGGGAATTGTTAAATTTGTGGAAAGCGGTGGCACAGACCAGAGCGAGGAGGAAGAGACTGAGGACACGCCACAGAAAGACGAATTGTAGAATGTAATTTTCTAATAACTTATTACTGGTTCCTTTTTATTTTTTACAACATGTAAGATTTTGATATAAATTATGTAATTGAAATTGAAATTTTATTGAAAACTCCCTAGAAACCAAATTACATTGAGATTGAAATTTTTTGCGCTTTGGTTGTAATTTTGTAAGTTGGATTTCGGGTAAATTACGTAATTACATACGATTGGCACCGCCATAATTGCATTCGAAATGGTGTCGTTTGGGTGTCCTTGCTAAAAAACATATCATTTAAGTAAGATGTTGGGTAGTACTACTACGTCCGGATTGAAAGTGGTGGTCCGCAACAAAACTATATTTAAAAAATGTTTGCTATAAACACATACAGTGTTATTCATTTAGAGGTAGACATAAGGATTTCCTTGTCTACTTTTAAATCACAAAAACTCTTCTGAAAGACGCCTAATTTATGTAATCAAAAGAAATTCTGGATTTTTTAATTTTTTTTCTTACGGGATTCTCTTCCACAAAAATTAAAATGTTGAGTTTCATTTAGTTATATACATTAAATAATTAATTAATTGATTTATTTATTTATTTTTTTATTTATTTATTTTCCCTCTTGTTCTAGGCCCTTAACAGGCTCATGCCAAATTACAGAGTGCTTTTTAGAGGTGCCCCTGCATAAGGTTCATATTCTGCGTTAAAGCTGAGGGTTGTTTACGGTGTCTTTATGTGGACATTTCCACTGATTTTAAAGTGATCAACAGAGAAACTGAGTCGCTTACGCTCCTTAAACTATTAGCGGCACGGATAGTCTTTGACTATACTTACCAATTGACAATATTTCAGTTGAATACATCACACACGAACGAAAATAAAAATAGCGAAGCCAAAGCAATAATATTCCAATTAATTATTATTTTGGTTGCATAAAATTAGGCGCTCTTCAGAAGAGTTTTTATCATTTAAAACTGGACATACGGAAAACAATACACAAATCCCTATGTCTACTTCTAGATGAATATCACTGTATACCAATATACAGTGCGTTCGAGATAGGATCACCCCAATATATCTTTTATTTGGTGAGATATGAACTGGGGCGCAGTACTACTGGACATCACCGAAGAACATACCAAGGTTTCAGAAACTCCAACCTCCATAGCGAATGTACTAAATGAGTATGTACCGACTCCTAGTAGTAGTACTAGTACTGTTATTAGTCTAGCACCAGTAGGTAGTTACTTACAATACAATCCTAATTTAAGACTGCTGAGGATGCCAAAAATGGCGTTAGTGGTTGAAATTAACAGCCCTATAAAGAAACATCGGAGGGTGACCATCTTCGCCACTCATCCAAAATGGCCTTTATATAAGGAGCAAACCTCTATAACTTAGTAACTGTCAGCAGCCGTTTCACGCGTACTACTCGCAGAAAGAAAATAACAAAATAAATTGAGAAACCATGAGTTGACTGTATATTTATTTGCTCGTGTATTGTATAAATATGGTTATATTTCGTCATTATTCTCACTGAGAGTCCTACCCACTCCATTAGCTTGCAAAAATTGGATGATCCCCTCGAAAGTAAAATCTCCTTCATAAGTGATGATTTCATTATCACCTCTACGACACAACTGAATTGTTGGAACGCTTTGAATTCTGGTATATTTCAGGAAGTTTTTTTGAACGTTGATCTGAGCGAAAACCACACCGTCATCACTTCTAAGGTGTTCACTCACTTCCGCAAAGATTGGCGCTAACCCTTGGCACTCTCTACTCCATGGCACGTGGAAATTTACCAACACATCTTTTTCGGCATCAAAAACGACGCTGTAAAAATTGCTTCCCACAAGCTTATAAATAGTCCCTTTATTCCAATCGTCGGGCAGCTCTTCGCTTGACGATGTCGGATATAGTTCCCCGTTCAAGTAGCTTTGTACAAATTCCTCGATAGTGTTAGCAGTAACGTCGTAGGATTCTGGTATAAACGATGTTGAATCGTGATTTGCATTAACTATGCGCATGGTGGGCACATCGCGCATGGGCACCTCAAGATAATCCAATAGTTCCTTGTTGGCAACCTTATCCGCATCAACAGTAATGAACAAAACTTTCCCTTTGAACGACCTGGCAACCGATCGAGCTTCCTCCTCCAAGTTGGATGATTCCGGAACCGATTTACGTAAAAACAAGAATAGGAAGTCTTTGATCTCGCCTTCGAAGAACTTCCTCACCGATTTAACGTTATACTCGGTCAGAAGAGGTGGTGATATTTCAAACAAAACGTTGTGCAGATTGTTCACACTTAAGTCGAGGTTAAAATGTAATTTTCTGCCGTTAAACTGCAATTCAAAGTATGCCTTAATGGAACGGGCTGATTGATACGAACCCTATTGTACACTAAAATGTCGCCATCATTCGCCGAGTACTCGCGGAAGATGTCCGGATCGGAGGTTATTCCAAAAACGAATTCGTTGTTTTCGTCAGCAACCTGCAAGAACCCGCGGGCGTCTTTTGAGGATTTATCTTCGAAAAAACCTATTGCGATCGCTTCATTTTCGTCTATTAAGGTTTTGGCGTCAACGACATTGATGAGATTCTGCGCCGGTGGTCCGGTTTTTTTATTTAGCCACCTGGCGATTTCCTCGGAGGTTCGACCACCTGGAGAAAGGTGAAGTTTACGGATTTCGATCGGATAACTGTTACCTGTGTAGTTTAAGGGTGCGCCGTTTCTGAAGAGCTTTATTGTTGGATATCCCTTAATTCCATATTCTTTGGCGAGTGAAGTTTCCAGTGTTGCGTCCACTTCGGCCAATGCAACGGACGATCCTTTATTTAGGAGAATTTCGCCTACTTTGGAGTATTCGGGTGCCAACAATTTACAGTATCCACACGTTGGTGCGTCTGAAAAGTAAATTGGCTAAACAACATACTTTTTTGCGCTATAAGATGGTCATGTTTGAAATGTTAGTGGGTAGGTACTTACAAAATTTTACAAAAACGTAAGCGTTGGTACTAATAAATGAATTGAAATTTTGTTTTGTAAGAGTTACAACTCCACCATCTACTTTAGTTACTTCTCCCTTGCAGAATGTACAAAGGGTAAAGGTTGTAATTAAATGTAATACGTTCATACTCAAATACCATGCCAAAGATTTAGTGGCAAGTGAGTTAGTTTGTCGAAATACCTTATACAAGGCGTACGTATGTGTTCCAAAATCACCAAATGATTGGGGCACGTAATCGTGGACGTTTATCAATATTTTTATCTAGCTTTTACTTGTTTATACTTGTTAAATTATGAGTACTATAGCTCGAGATGATTATTTTTCTGATGAACATTCCTATTATACTGTCATAAACAAATAATAAATAAAAAACGTTCTCATTTAGAAAATGTAGCTCCTTAAAATTCAATTAGGGCAAATACTCCTCTAGAATCCAAAATATGAGCCGGATTAAAGACGTGTTTCTGAATGCGAGCTCAGTGTAAAAATTCCCCTACTGAAAATCGTGTGCGATCACATCAATCAACACTGATCTATTCTCAAAGATCAAGCTTTTAATCTTTACATAATGCAGCAGCTCTCAAGCCACACCCTTGGGTGATATTTTGCAGCACGATTTGTTGCAAATTTTCTTTGGTATCAGCACCATAAATAACGATAGGTCACCCTGCATGTTGAAATTCATTTATTTTTAAGCGTTAAATGTCGTTTTATTTGAGATCATGTCATTTGAATTGGAGGTCAAAGTTTTGAACCAGACTTATTTAATATTTGGTTTTGTTTAAATTTATTTATTTTGATTTGCAATTGTGAAGTTTTGAACGAATGTTTTGTTAAAGTTATCTTTTGTGAATCCAGTCTTTGCGATAAGAAGTTTCGTTATTGTAAGGTATTTAGTTTCAAGATAAGCACGTGTTACCGCAGGACTATAATACATTTTTAGTTATTCGAAGACGCGGTAATTTGATACGAAGGAGGAGATGGTTCGGAAAGAAAACTGAGAGAAGGGAGAATGTTTTGAGTTGCAGAGACGGATGTTAATCGTTGCTTTTTTGGTGGTGGACTTTAGCCGTTGTTTTTTTGGTAGACGTTAAAACGTAGTCTCTTATTATTCAGTGTGTATTTGGCCGTTATCGAAGCTTATTGAATAGACAGATAAGAGTTCTGTTTTTACTATTCTGTTGGTACCCCGGATTATGCCAGCTTTTTAAATAAAAACATAATTCTTTGGAATTGTGGAGTTTCGAGTTTTGAGGCCCGAAAAAAAATTGTCTCAGATCGACCCGGAAAATAAAATTTTTTATAGAATGTGGCCTTAGAATCCATAATTTCAAACAGTTCCAAGATTGGGCTACTAGTTCAAAAGTTACAGCCCTTTGAATTTTCTTTCGGAATTGGTTTCTAGTCTATAACTTTTGATTGAGAAGTCTGATCGAAAAAGTACGAATTGTTTTGGATTCTACGCACCAAAATTAATAAGAAAAAGTGTTTTCCCGAGAAATTTTGGTGTAGTCGATTTTTGGTAAAAAAGGAAGGTTATACACTGCCTTTTTTTGAGGCCCGAAAAAAAATTGTCTCAGATCGACCCGGAAAAAAATTTCTTATAGAATGTGGCCTGTAGAATCCATAATTTCAAACAGTTCCAAGATTGGGCTACTAGTTCAAAAGTTACAGCCCTTTGAATTTTTTTTCGAAATTGGTTTCTAGTCTATAACTTTTGATTGAGAAGTCTGATCGAAAAAGTACGAATTGATTTGGATTCTACGCACCCAAATTAATAAGAAAAAGTGTTTTCCCGAGAAATTTTGGTGTAGTCGATTTTTGGTAAAAAAGGAAGGTTATTACACTGCCTTTTGTTGAGCCCAGAAAAAGAAATTGTCTCAAATCGACCAGGAAAAAAAATTTTCTTATAGAATGTGGGCTGTAGAATCCATAATTTCAAACAGTTCCAAGATTGGGCTACTAGTTCAAAAGTTACAGCCCTTTGAATTTTCTTTCGAAATTGGTTTCTAGTCTATAACTTTTGATTGAGAAGTCTGATCGAAAAAGTACGAATTGTTTTGGATTCTACGCACCAAAATTAATAAGAAAAAGTGTTTTCCCGAGAAATTTTGGTGCAGTCGATTTTTGGTAAAAAAGGAAGGTTATACACTGCCTTTTTTTGAGCCCCGAAAAAAAATTGTCTCAGATCGACCCGGAAAAAAATTTTCTTATAGAATGTGGCCTGTAGAATCCATAATTTCAAACAGTTCCAAGATTGGGCTACTAGTTCAAAAGTTACAGCCCTTTGAATTTTCTTTCGAAATTGGTTTCTAGTCTATAACTTTTGATTGAGAAGTCTGATCGAAAAAGTACGAATTGTTTTGGATTCTACGCACCAAAATTAATAAGAAAAAGTGTTTTCCCGAGAAATTTTGGTGCAGTCGATTTTTGGTAAAAAAGGAAGGTTATACACTGCCTTTTTTTGAGGCCCGAAAAAAAAATTGTCTCAGATCGACCCGGAAAAAAAATTTCTTATAGAATGTGGCCTGTAGAATCCATAATTTCAAACAGTTCCAAGATTGGGCTACTAGTTCAAAAGTTACAGCCCTTTGAATTTTCTTTCGAAATTGGTTTCTAGTCTATAACTTTTGATTGAGAAGTCTGATCGAAAAAGTACGAATTGTTTTGGATTCTACGCACCAAAATTAATAAGAAAAAGTGTTTTCCCGAGAAATTTTGGTGTAGTCGATTTTTGGTAAAAAAGGAAGGTTATACACTGCCTTTTTTTGAGGCCCGAAAAAAAAATTGTCTCAGATCGACCCGGAAAAAAATTTTCTTATAGAATGTGGCCTGTAGAATCCATAATTTCAAACAGTTCCAAGATTGGGCTACTAGTTCAAAAGTTACAGCCCTTTGAATTTTCTTTCGAAATTGGTTTCTAGTCTATAACTTTTGATTGAGAAGTCTGATCGAAAAAGTACGAATTGTTTTGGATTCTACGCACCAAAATTAATAAGAAAAAGTGTTTTCCCGAGAAATTTTGGTGCAGTCGATTTTTGGTAAAAAAGGAAGGTTATACACTGCCTTTTTTGAGGCCCGAAAAAAAATTGTCTCAGATCGACCCGGAAAAAAATTTTCTTATAGAATGTGGCCTGTAGAATCCATAATTTCAAACAGTTCCAAGATTGGGCTACTAGTTCAAAAGTTACAGCCCTTTGAATTTTTTTTCGAAATTGGTTTGTAGTCTATAACTTTTGATTGAGAAGTCTGATCGAAAAAGTACGAATTGTTTTGGATTCTACGCACCAAAATTAATAAGAGAAAGTGTTTTCCCGAGAAATTTTGGTGCAGTCGATTTTTGGTAAAAAAGGAAGGTTATACACTGCCTTTTTTTGAGGCCCGAAGAAAAAATTGTCTCAGATCGACCCGGAAAAAAAATTTTCTTATAGAATGTGGCCTGTAGAATCCATAATTTCAACAGTTCCAAGATTGGGCTACTAGTTCAAAAGTTACAGCCCTTTGAATTTTCTTTCGAAATTGGTTTCTAGTCTATAACTTTTGATTGAGAAGTCTGATCGAAAAAGTACGAATTGTTTTGGATTTTACGCACCAAAATTAATAAGAAAAAGTGTTTTCCCGAGAAATTTTGGTGCAGTCGATTTTTGGTAAAAAAGGAAGGTTATACACTTCCTTTTTTTGAGCCCCGAAAAAAAAATTGTCTCAGATCGACCCGGAAAAAAAATTTTCTTATAGAATGTGGCCTGTAGAATCCATAATTTCAAACAGTTCCAAGATTGGGCTACTAGTTCAAAAGTTACAGCCCTTTGAATTTTTTTTCGAAATTGGTTTCTAGTCTATAACTTTTTTTGAGAAGTCTGATCGAAAAAGTACGAATTGTTTTGGATTCTGCGCACCAAAATTAATAAAAAAAGTGTTTTCCCGAGAAATTTTGGTGCAGTCGATTTTTGGTAAAAAAGGAAGGGTTAAAAAATTGGAAGGTATAAGTATTCAAACAGTTCCAAGATTGGGCTACTAGTTCAAAAGTTACAGCCCTTTGAATTTTTTTCGAAATTGGTTTCTAGTCTATAACTTTTGATTGAGAGGTCTAATCGAAAAAGTACGAATTGTTTTGGATTCTACGCACCAAAATTAATAAGAAAAAGTGTTTTCCCGAGAAATTTTGGTGCAGTCGATTTTTGGTAAAAAAGGAAGGTTAAGTATTCAAATACTATGCGAAGTATTCGAATACTAAATATTTGTGAAAGTATTTGAGTTACAAAAACAAATACTGCTTCCATAAAAGTATTTAATTACAAAGTATTTGAATACTTTAAAGGATTTGAATACTAAAAAGTATTTAGAAAATCGAATACTGCCCAGCTCTGTTTACATTTTAGTCGGACTAAAAGGAACAGAACAATGACTTTGGTAAATTGGTAAAGAGTAGGTAGGTAAACGTAATTAGTTCAAATAAAAATATTAATTTTCTCAGATTGGAACAGTAAATCACAGAAATAGATAACAATTTTGATAAAAAATGGTTCAAAATACGTGCACCAATCATTTAGGCACACGGGCCTGGCACGTATGTACGTGAGGCGATTCGATAATAAGGCATGAGTTTTTCACATCGTACCGGAAAAGATGAAGGTCTTGGATGCATTTTTAGTCATCACTCTTAGTATATTATGTGGTGCCCAAAAAATTGAGGTACATAACGGTGTTTCTGTGCTAACACAAGAAAATTTCAAGGACTTTATTAGTAGCAGAGACTACGTTCTCGTAGATTTTTGTAAGTAAAACCTATATTTGTGTCAAGTTTGTTTATCTAATCTGTTCAATTCTAAAAAATCACAAAAGATAACCTAAACTTGACAAAAAGAGACAGTAGACATGGGTTTTGTTTTGCAGATGCACCATGGTGTGGTCAGTGTCAAGATCTGGAGCCAGAGTATGCCATGGTGGCGCAAACTTTAGCACTATCAGAGTCGCCAGTTGAACTTGGGAAGGTCGATGTGACAGAAGAAGAGTCGTTAGCCGACGATCATAACATTAAGGTGATTCCAACGCTCGTACTTTTCAAAAAAGGAAAAACGCGGGCTGAGTATACAGGTAATTGTTACCCTTAAGTTGTGAAAGACATCTCGCTTTTTGTTAGGCGAACTTGTCGCTGAGAAAATCGTCGAATGGCTGACTCGCCGTTGTGGACCACCGGCCCAAGATCTCCAAGGGGTTGAAAATGTCCAAGCGCTAATCGAGGAATTCGATGTGGTTGTGATTGGTTTCTTCAAGGATCAGTCTTCGAAAAATGCCGAGGTGTTTCTTGAGTTTGCTGATTCCACGTTTTCGGTTCCTTTTGGAATAACATCGGATGAAGACAGTTTTGCAGAGTATTCAGTGAAAAACGGCGACATTGTTCTCTTCAAGAAGGTTTGTGTTACCAGGAGATTTGTGCTACTAATAAGAGTGGTAATTGCAGTTTGATGACCGGAAAGTGAAGTTCGGGGGAGAATTAAATGTAAAAGGTCTTCAGACATTTTTAAGGGAGGAGTCTCGTCCTCTTATCTCGGAATTTGAACCCGATCTTCTTGAGACCGACGGCGTGAGAGGGTTCGTGTTGTTATTTTTGGATAAACTAAGTGAAGAATCGTCTCGCATCGAAGATGAGGCAAGGTCCGTTGCCAAATTGTTTAAACAAGACATTATGTTCGTGTCTGTCGACACGGAGATAGGAGCAAACCAAGCAGCGTTGGACATGCTTAATGTCAAAGATGAGGATGTACCGACAATGCGCATAGCCAAACCCGCCCGAAACATCAAGAGGTTTGTTCCGGAATCTAACGACTTGACCGCCGAGAGCATCCAGAAATTTGTAGAGGATTATTTGAGTGGCAAAATCAAACCGCAATTTCTAGGCGCGGATTTGCCAGAAGACTGGAAGAAGGGCTTCGTTTATACGCTTGTGAGCAGTAATTTTGAAAGCGTCGTTTTCGATACCGAAAAAGATGTCCTAGTCGAATTTCATAAAACATCATGCGGGTACTGTAAACTTTTACATCCAATTTTGGAACAGGTTGGCGAATACTTTAAGAGAGATACACATGTAATTGTTGCAAAAATAGATATATCGGTTAACGAGATCGATGATGATAACTTTCAAAGCTTGCCGGCATTGAAATTGTATCTTAGAGGCGACAAAAAAGTTATTACTTACAAGGGTGCAATTACAGTAGAAGCAATTGCCAATTTTATAAAAAACCCAAACGCAGGGGATATTGGCAACGAAGATAAAAGTCAAGAAGAGGAAGCAGAGGAGGATGAAGATTATGTGGACGGAATGAAAGATGAGTTGTGATATCGTAGTTTTAATATGTCTTACTGTGATCTTGGTTCCGGTTCCACTTAAGTAGAATTATTTTTTAATGGTTAAATAATGTTCGGTTCCGGTTCCATTTTTTTAGATTTTTCAGGGTTCCAACATAAACAAAGAAATATATTATAAGAAAAAAATAATTCACAAAATATATGTACATTATTATTTTGCATTTTTTTTTCTTTTTAGCTTACAAGTTCGTTTCATCTCTGTCAATTGCTTTCTTCAACCTTCTTACTGTTTTTGATTAGATTATTTCGGTCGCTCTAAAATATTGTCATGCGCATGACTAAGTTAACCCTATAGGTATAATATTTTATCGTTAATAATAATAATATCCACTAACCATAGATGTTAAAGTACAGAAAAGCTTTTAACACTTCAGAACCAAATTTTCTACCATCGATTCCGGTTTCGGTACCGATTCTTTTCGGTTCCTGCTCCTGCCCCTGCTCATAATGCCCTAGCATGGCGAGATCATTATGTTAGAACAAATGAGTTATTTTAATAGTATATTAAATCTCCCTAAGCAGAATTGCCACTTCTTCAATCATTTTAAATTGAACGTTGGGTGGAGTGACACATCATTGGTAAGGGCTCTTAATTTCGTTTGAAGGATACAAATCAATTCAAATGGATATTCAAGCTAATATGTGAATAAACACACTCATAAGAAATATTTGGCACACAAGACAATCCTGAAGACCCGGCCAAATGACACCGCCCAAATGGACCGAAAAACCCCCAATATAAAAGGGCTTCGTAGAGCTGTTGTGGAGGCAAGGACGTAACGAAGCACGATGTAAAAGCTTGAAGAAAAACTTTCCTAAAAGATATAAAATCGGTTGCACAGCCAGCAACAAGCGAGAAGCTGGATTTTGTGTGGTTATCGGGGGTGCGAGTGGAATCAGGGGTATATCACCCCCCATTTTATCCCTAATTGGCAGTTAGTTATCTATAATTTTCCTGTTTTTCGCATGGCGAGTGGCTAAATCATCCAGTCATATAAACCGTAAAGGGACAGGCAACCAGCACCGAAAGGGCTCAGATTACCTATCTATAACTTTTGATTGAGAAGTCTGATCGAAAAAGTACGAATTGTTTTGGATTCTACGCACCAAAATTAATAAGAAAAAGTGTTTTCCCGAGAAATTTTGGTGTAGTCGTTTTTTGGTAAAAAAGGAAGGTTATACACTGCCTTTTTTTGAGCCCCGAAAAAAAAATTGTCTCAGATCGACCCGGAAAAAATTTTTTCTTATAGAATGTGGCCTGTAGAATCCATAATTTCAAACAGTTCCAAGATTGGGCTACTAGTTCAAAAGTTACAGCCCTTTGAATTTTCTTTCGAAAATGGTTTCTAGTCTATAACTTTTGATTGAGAAGTCTGATCGAAAAAGTACGAATTGTTTTGGATTCTACGCACCAAAAATAATAAGAAAAAGTGTTTTCCCGAGAAATTTTGGTGTAGTCGATTTTTGGTAAAAAAGGAAGGTTATACACTGCCTTTTTTTGAGCCTCGAAAAAAAAATTCGTCTCAGATCGACCCGGAAAAAAATGTTCTTATAGAATGTGGCCTGTAGAACCCATAATTTCAAACAGTTCCAAGATTGGGCTACTAGTTCAAAAGTTACAGCCCTTTGAATTTTCTTTCGAAATTGGTTTCTAGCCTATAACTTTTGATTGAGAAGTCTGATCGAAAAAGTACGAATTGTTTTGGATTCTACGCACCAAAATTAATAAGAAAAAGTGTTTTCCCGAGAAATTTTGATGCAGTCGATTTTTGGTAAAAAAGGAAGGTTATACACTGCCTTTTTTTGAGCCCCGAAAAAAAAATTGTCTCAGATCGACCCGGAAAAAAATTTTCTTATAGAATGGGGCCTGTAGAATCCATAATTTCAAACAGTTCCAAGATTGGGCTACTAGTTCAAAAGTTACAGCCCTTTGAATTTTCTTTCGAAATTGGTTTCTAGTCTGTAACTTTTGATTGAGAAGTCTGATCGAAAAAGTACGAATTGATTTGGATTCTACGCACCCAAATTAATAAGAAAAAGTGTTTTCCCGAGAAAATTTGGTGTAGTCGATTTTTGGTAAAAAAGGAAGGTTATACACTGCCTTTTTTGAGCCCCGAAAAAAAATTGTCTCAGATCGACCCGGAAAAAAAATTTTCTTATAGAATGTGGCCTGTAGAATCCATAATTTCAAACAGTTCCCAGATTGGGCTACTAGTCCAAAAGTTACAGCCCTTTGAATTTTCTTTCGAAATTGGTTTCTTAGTCTATAACTTTTGATTGAGAAGTCTGATCGAAAAAGTACGAATTGTTTTGGATTCTACGCACCAAAATTAATAAGAAAAAGTGTTTCCCGAGAAATTTTGGTGTAGTCGATTTTTGGTAAAAAAGGAAGGTTATACACTGCCTTTTTTTGAGCCCCGAAAAAAAAATTGTCTCAGATCGACCCGCAAAAAAAATTTTCTTATAGAATGTGGCCTGTAGAATCCATAATTTCAAACAGTTCCAAGATTGGGCTACTAGTTCAAAAGTTACAGCCTTTTGAATTTTCTTTCGAAATTGGTATAACTTTTGATTGAGAAGTCTGATCGAAAAAGTACGAATTGTTTTGGATTCTACGCACCAAAATTAATAAGAAAAAGTGTTTTCCCGAAAAATTTTGGTGTAGTCGATTTTTGGTAAAAAAGGAAGGTTATACATTGCCTTTTTTTGAGCCCCGAAAAAAAAATTGTCTCAGATCGACCCGGAAAAAAATGTTCTTATAGAATGTGGCCTGTAGAATCCATAATTTCAAACAGTTCCAAGATTGGGCTACTAGTTCAAAAGTTACAGCCCTTTGAATTTTTTTTCGAATTTGGTTTCTAGTCTATAACTTTTGATTGAGAAGTCTGATCGAAAAAGTACGAATTGTTTTGGATTCTACGCACCAAAATTAATAAGATAAAGTGTTTTCCCGAGAAATTTTGGTGCAGTCGATTTTTGGTAAAAAAGGAAGGTTATACACTGCCTTTTTTTGAGCCCCGAAAAAAAAATTGTCTCAGATCGACCCGGGAAAAAAATTTTCTTATAGAATGTGGCCTGTAGAATCCATAATTTCAAACAGTTCCAAGATTGGGCTACTAGTTCAAAAGTTACAGCCCTTGGAATTTTCTTTCGAAATTTGCCCATAACTTTTGATTGAGAAGTCTGATCGAAAAAGTACGAATTGTTTTGGATTCTACGCACCAAAATTAATAAGGAAAAGTGTTTTCCCGAGAAATTTTGGTGCAGTCGATTTTTGGTAAAAAAGGAAGGTTATACACTGCCTTTTTTTGAGCCCCGAAAAGAAAATTGTCTCAGATCGACCCGGAAAAAAATTTTCTTATAGAATGTGGCCTGTAGAATCCATAATTTCAAACAGTTCCAAGATTGGGCTACTAGTTCAAAAGTTACAGCCCTTTGAATTTTTTTTCGAAATTGGTTTCTAGTCTATAACTTTTGATTGAGAAGTCTGATCGAAAAAGTACGAATTGTTTTGGATTCTACGCACTAAAATTAATAAGAAAAAGTGTTTTCCCGAGAAATTTTGGTGCAGTCGTTTTTGGTAAAAAAGGAAGGTTATACACTGCCTTCTTGTGAGACCCTGACTGCCATAAAAAATGTAATTTAATTACTCACCGGTATTGCTAAACACGCAAATTTGAAGCTCTAAACCAGCGCTGGAACGGTTACCTGTTTCCCAGTGACCGATTCCAATTTTCATAGCTATTAAGGGAATTTTAAGGGGATTCGTGTTTTTACTATCAAGGCGACCACTGCGTGGGTCATATCTTATTGATATCAAAATGCGCTAATATAATTAGGTTACTGTTAGGATTGCTGCGTTAAACACATGTTTCTTATTGGTGTTCACTAATTCACCCCAAATATTTACAATAATGAATACAGTGGTTTGTTTGTAATTCTCAAATGCAAGGATCCACCAGGAAATCACCTATTGAACCTTCAACGAAGAAATTTGCCGTCGGACGAAAAGATTATTATTTTCATTGCCTAAGCGTAGCGGTCAAAGTTCCTGTAAACTGTAATCTACCCCTTTCGCTGCCCACATTGTCACCATTTTTGTAATTTATGTAAAGATTAAAGGCGAGGTCTTTGAAAAAAGATCATTGTAAATTAAAACTCGATCTATTTTGCCAATTTGATTAAGACATTTTGGATTTGAATGAATCTTAAGGAGATTAGGCAAAAGAGTATCTGTGTTAGGACTCTTGATCCTTGAATCTACAATCCACAAAATCGATTTTTGCAATCGAAGAAATAGAAGAAGCAAATATAGTATATTTGCACACGCTTGTTTAGATTATACTGGGAAGCAAACATTTTATTCCCGGACATTCCCACTGGTTTATTATGGAGATGAATCAGGTAATGAGTACAAGCAAGGTTGTGGTATTTGTCAGGCGAGGATAAAGAGGTGGTCTCATTTCAGCAAAACTTTTGAGTCTGATGGTCCTTCTGTAGTAATTGGAATTATTTGACTGCTTTGCGGGAAGGGAGTGATTTTAGATTCATTAATTATGTAATAGGCGATTTCTCTGTGTTCTTTTAAAACAAGCATTAAAGCTCCAAGGTCGTGCAGTTTATTTCGTTATCACCGACCTTTTACAATTGACCCGAAATTCCAGGCAACAAGGGGGGCAGTACTGGGCTACCGATTCTGGAAATTTCGACCCGGCCACTTGAGTTAGGATAAATACCGGTAGCTAATCTTATCAGTTGCAGCCAACTTCGTAGGATTAGATGGAACCTGGTGTCATTGGAAGCGCGCTTAATTAATTTGACTTTTGATATCAGTTGCAGATTTTTAGGACATCAGCAGGCAGCACAAATAATTAAAGAAGTTTTAAATTTTAAACGTTATCATGCCATTGCTGGAAAGTCCACTTTTCCCTTCCTGAATATCCGAATTAATACGCGATGTAAAAAGGATCATCTTGTTAGGAGAATTAGCCGTGTAAGTTTCTTTTTTTTCTAGTTTTTCCGAGTTTTATTCCGAGGTGAGTTATCATTTTAACCGTTAGGATTAATAGTAGGGGTCCGTGTTTTCCTCTGTTTCTTTCTTCACATAGATAATTAATTACTTACCGTTCCCGCTCTGGGAATTTGTTGTTGTTGTCGCGTCCGTAAATCTGTTGTAGATTTTCCGTCAGCAATTTTCCGTACCCGTTTGGAGCCCTGGAGTGCCCGTTATTTGCACCTGTGGCAAACATGGCCGTTCCGTAACTAGTAACTACCGTCCTGCCCCCCTTCTCCAGAAGCAAGGGATTTTACCTTCTGTAATCGCCCGAAGCTCCCTTTCCGTTCGGCCATCTCCAAAGCAATATTTTTGTTAGTGCAATCACTTACTATATTTGATAGTAACGTAATTAAATACTTATTCATTTTTTTTCGTATGGGGTGAACCCTCCGCAACGAGCTGGGAACGGGGAGTTCGTCGCATCAGATCGTTCCGCATACAGGGTGTTAACACTAAGCCGTTACACCCGAGAACGGCAGTTGGAACTCATTAAAACAACACGTTATTGGCGTTCTTTTGTTTTTCGAAAAATCCCTTATTTTAAGGGAAAAAAAACAAAAAATTTCAAAACTTTCAGCCCTCTAAAACATTTGTATTTATAATTATCTTCCACTATCGATCAAAAATTAAAAAAAAAACATTTTTTGATATCCACCCCATCGATTTTTGAAAGTAAAACATTCATAAATCTACTAGAACATTTGTCCTAAATTTTTTTTTCAATCTATCCTGCAAAGGGAGACCGTTGGGTGAAAATACTGGATCAAGTCAAGGATTTGGTATCCGAATCAGAGATTACAGTCTAGTTAAAACTAATAGAGGATCCTGCTCTACAGGGTGAACGCTGTCTCCAAAAATTCCTTGGCGTAATTTTTCCCTTGAATAAACACATTTAATCTAAAGTAGGTACCTCATAATAAAAATAACCTAGCAGAGTAGGTATGTGTTCTAACGATAAGATTAAAACGATTTGTCGTGGACTTTTTTATCTACTTCATGAGTATAGTGAAAGTCATATATTAACAAAGCGAAGTGGGTGTATTAGAAATGAAGGTTATTTCTTTATTGTATTTATTTGCTGCAATTTTGTGGGTACGTTGTGATGATAAAGGTGACAGTGAAATAATTTCAGAGGAATATGTATTAGAACTAAAAGAAGAGAATTTTGACAGCGTGATCGAAAGTAATGACATCGTCTTCGTGGAGTTTTGTAAGTTGACCAAAAGGTATCAATTTTTTAAATAGTTTTGGGTAGTGAGGCTAATGATCTAATTCGAAGAGTGTTCTAATCGTCCTTTAAGCACCAGAGCTGTGTTGGACATCGCTAAAGAGCTTTTCTAGCCCCTTTCAAAGCCTTTTAATGCTCACCTAGCTATGGGAAGGCAGTAAAACACAATTTTGGCCAACACTTTCAGCGCAGTCTAGAATCTCAAGTGCTTTACGAATACTTTCAAGGCAGATCTGTTTCTATAGTGGCCTTTGCTTTGGAGACGGATTTTAAATATTTGGAAAGGACCTTCTAGATGCTTTCCAGGACATAATATCGCCACCCTAGAGCTTTATGATACATTTTCCGTAACTAATTAGGTCACGTTGAACCATTTCCTAACCTTTGTCTTGCTCTAAAATATTAAGGAAAGACCCTAAAATATTGGAGAAAATCCTAAAGCAATTTTCAGGGTTTCAAAGGGTTCTTGGTGTTTTTATGAAACTGTCTAAACTTTGTATGTTGTTTTTCATCCCTCCTTTAGAGCGTTAAAGTGCTTTAGGAAGTACTTATGTACCCTTATGACCTATAACGTGTTGAAACACCTTTTAGCGCTTTCTTGGGTTTCAAAGTAATTTATAGCAAATTCTTAAGACAAAGTTGGCAGATCCTCTCAATTTTTATAATAGGCCAACGATGACTAACACATGACACAATATTAATTTACAGGACGATACATCTTAATGTGTCCCTTGACTTCACAGAGCTCTTCATGTCGCTAAATGAGCTGTCAATTAGAGCGCTTGTGACTCTTCGAACTTTCTGAGCAGGTTTAGATCTGGAAAATCCCTAGAAGAGTCTGTAGCAAGCACTTGAGATTCAAACAAACACTTTTCAGAACTTTATAGGTCTTTTGGTAGCGCTTTAGCGCCTATCCAGAGTTCCTGAAGTTCTATATCCTGTTCTGTAGCCTCGTCTTGCTCTGTAAAAGCTCTCGAAAGGTCTAGAAGGTCTGTAGCACAAATTTCAGACTTTGAAAAGCTCTTAAAACACTTTTTGTCTTCGCTTGCATATATTCTCACTTGTTTCAATAGAGAGCAGGTGGTATTGTGAAATATTACTTCCTTAACCATGTGTGATCTCAGTTCAAAGAAAACTTATGGGTCCCATTTCAGATGCTGAACAATGCGGCGTATGTCAAGCGCTTGCACCGGAATACGCGAAAGCGGCAACAATTTTAGCCGAAGCAGGATCTTCGGTCAAACTCGCGAAGGTCGACGCCATTGTAGAAACTGCCCTTGCTGGCAAATACAAAGTGGATGGTTATCCAACAATGCTTTTATTCCGAAAAGGAACTACTCCCGTATCTTACGAACGTGAGCCAATTAAAATCACTTACGCCTTTAACCCTTGGGCTTGTAGGAGGACGATCTGCCAATGATATTGTTGGGTGGCTCAACAAGAAGTCAGCACCGCCAGCAAAGCAACTCCAGAACATGGAAGAAGCCAGAACATCAATTGACAGCAACGATATATTTGCAATAGGTTTTTTTGCCGATCAATCTACAGACGATGCCAAAATGTTCTTCAGAGTTGCTGATAAAATTGACGACTTTACCATGGGGATTACTTCAGATCGGGACACTTTCAAAGAACACGCAGCGAAAAATGGCGACATTGTAATCTTTGCAAAAGTAAGTGCACTTCTTCACCTTTCAAAAATCGTCCACTGCGTTTTAGTACTCCGACAGTCCAATCCGATATGAAGGTGAATTCAATGAGGATTCCCTAGAGAACTTCTTCTCGACGCACTCGCTACCTCCGCTAGTAGAAATGACAAACGAAACATTAGTGCCCATTTTTCGGGGCGTTATCAAGACCTCTTTATTTATATTTTTGAGCAAATCGGACGACAATGCGCAAGTAATTGAAGAAGAAGTCCGGTATGTTGCCACACTTTACCACACAAAACTTAGATTTGTTTTGCTTAACACTGATAACCAAATCAACCAGCAAATTCAAACATATCTGAGGGTAGGTCGGCGCCAAGAGCCTTTCATGCGAATTATAAATTTAAGCGGGATGGTTAAATTTAAACCGGAGCATGACCAACTTACAGTTGCCAATATTAAGAAGTTCGTTGAAGATTTCCTCGATGGCAAAATAGGAAAGTATCTCGCAAGTGAAGATATTCCCGAGGATTGGAATAAAGGACCGGTTTATCATTTGGTAGGGGATACCTTTCAGGATGTCGCTTTCGATTTCGAGAAGGACGTTTTAGTTGAATTTTACGCACCGTGGTGCGGGGTTTGTAAGAATTTGGCCCCGACTTACATAGAAGTTGGCGAACATTTTACGAGTAACAGTGACGTTATTATCGCGAAGCTTGATGTGACGGTTAATGAGATACCAACTCGTCAGATATCTGGTGTTCCTACGATTATTTTGTATAAGAAAGGTCAAAATGAAGAGATTGAGTACGGAGGGCCGCACAGTTTTGAGGGTATTGTGAAATTTGTTGAGAGTGGCGGACAAGAAGGACGTAAGGGCGAGGAAAGAACTGAGGATGAAAACGGAGACGGAGGTTCTAGTTCTAAAAAGGATGAACTATAATAAGTCACGACTGTGTAGATATTGCATAAAAAAAGCAGAACTGTAAATAAAGTTCCGAAAATGTCAAATGTTTAACTACAACCATTTTCATCAGATTTTCATTAAGACCTGGCGCAATTCTTGGGCACGAGAGAAAATCTGACATGAAAACTCTATCCGGGTTTCATAAAGGTTCGAATAAACACACAATTAATTGACTGACAATGACAAAAATTTATCCCGAAACATATGAAGGGAAAAATTAAAGCAAAATTCCTGAAAGAAACTTACAAAGCTTATTTAGACTAATTACCCCGCACGCAGGTGTTGACAAATAAAATAAGAAAATCCTAAATTACTTACAGTTTTTTTTCTCTTTTAAAAATCCTAATGGTCTGGTCATTGAAAGATTTGCAATAAACAAGTAGTCTGGTCAAAATAGACATTCACCCTTGTATAATTTCCCAAGAACAAACGTTGGCAATACCATTATAATGAAATTGTGAAAAATCCCCAACGATGGGGTACTTTTTATGGTTCGCGCGCTGTACTGATAATCAAAATTTACTTAAAAAAAATTTTTGTTAGGTCAAAAGAACGAAACAGGCTTTAATTTGGTACCATTCCCATTAAAATCGACCCACTGGTTATTTTTTTTATTAAGCTTCAAACTCGAGTGCACAAACTTTTTGCGTCGACAGTAGTTACATCTGCTAAAGTTTTTGAAGATATCAATTTTGCTCCAGAAACTATAATTTCTCCGGAATGTGTATTCTTCTTTCAGTATATAGAGCTCCAAAAAAAGTTACTTGCATAGATAAGTTACATTACTTATCTTTGCAAAATTTACTGTTAATAAAAATCGTGCGCAATTAGCTTGTCTTCCTCCCTCCTCGGTTTCTGCTGAACAACATTTTTATCGAGTATATTATCAGGTTCGGGTATGGCTTAGTAATCAACTGGATCCAGAAGAATGGGGCTGGAAGCCAATGGATAATGTTTCGGAACCAATCCACATACTACATACATCTGCACCAGAGAAACTCTGCATCTGAAAAAAAGGGTGTAACTCGAAATAATGCGGCTGCAAAAAAGTAGGTTTATTTTGTTCACCAGCATGCACCAGTTATCAAAGACAGTCGTGTTCTAATTTTGAATCTCCAACAGAAGAAGATCCTTACATCGACGACGAAACAGCTGTTTGAACAATTTACGTCAACTCAGGAAGAAGAAGGCGAAGAAGGTAAAGAAAAAGAATATGGAGCAAGAAAAGACGAAGAAGAAGACAACATTGAACGAATTATTCTACTACGATTAAATAAAATAGACCGTGGATTATGCCTACTGGGGAAGGCACGTTAAAAAACGCGTCAAGTAGTATAAGTAAATAGTATAAGTAGGGAATTCAACTTTAGTAAATTTTGGAGTCGCTTTTGCTCAGAAATACTAATTCTTAGGGGACAATCATTGTAGATTGCATGATTTGTAATTCTTGTCTGAACTATTTGTATTATAAAACTAACCGTTTCGTTTGAAAACCAAAAAAACTCATTTTTGCAAACTTTGACCTTGAATAAAATTTGGGATAGATGGGGGCTTTTCACAATTTCCTTATAATGGTATCCATAACGTTCATGTAAATTTTCAGCTTCTTGGGAATTTATGCAACAATACCCCTATTTTTCGGATTGACTTGACCAGACTAAAGGCGTAGTTAACTCCACACCTAACGCTGAGAACTTCTGAACTTCGATCTTCTTTAACACACAAATCTTTAGTAATTAAAGTGAATAACATAATGAATTTCCGGTGGCTGTTTAGGCGGTACAAACTTTTAACTTGTAATAATAAAAGATCCTTAACGAAGGCCTCACTGCTGCTTTTTCAACTTGATAGACTTTAAAACCGCTTTAAACTTCTCACAAAACTTTAGTTAAACTTGCTGTTGCGCAAAATTATTATAATATACAAGCTATGTCTTCAACTAATCAAATCGAGCAGACATCCCGAATAAAATAAATAGCATATAAAACATACACGCTTTCCAACCGTCCCGAAACGGTTTCGTTTTTTACATTGATCCCTGTATTTAACGAAACACCACGTCCGCAATAAAATAATCCACTTCCTCAAGATTTCTCAAAAACATCGCCAATCATAATTAGGCTTGATAACGCCAGCTTCGAAAGAACGCGTCGCTGGTCCCCACTTACGCTGAAATAAACGCGTACATGGTCGAAATACATGATCTCTCCTAAAAGAGCTAATTAAATCTCATTAGATAACAAAATTGCTTATAGCAAACGATCAGATGTGCCTACATTAAGGTATCTTAACTAAATTGGATATTACAATAGCGATAAAATTCAAACAAGAAAACGATACGCAATTTTAAAAGAAAAAAATAATACTGAGATCCAAATTCAAGTAAAAATCGTCTACTAGAAGACAGTTTTTCACCGGAAACTTGGGTCCATTTTCTTTCCAAGATGTTCAAGATGAATAATTTTTTTCAATTAGTTTTTACTGTAAAATGAAATAGCACAAGTCCTACAACAAACTTCAAACCTTGAACTACATTAATTTGAGTGAAAACTATTATGTGTTAAGAAAATTGTGTATTTAGAAAAGGGTGCATGTTTTAGTCTAGGAGGGAACCTTAACCTTAAGGTAAAGATGGCAAACATAACGAAAAAATTTTAATTTACCAGATACTTGCGATAGGGGATGAAAGTACAACTTAAAAAGAATGAAGTGCATCACTATTCAAATATAATAAATTGCAATTAGATTAGAAAACGCTGGCTTCGAAGGAAAGCGTCTGATATAAAAAGTCCTTGTCGCAAATGTCCAGATGTTTGTCTAAATCGAAGAATTTACACAATAACTAATAAATTATATATATTTGCGATAAAACGCTAATTAATCGATATAAATTTTCTAATTGCTTATCGAACTTCATTTCTTACTTGTTCCTTCGCTTCAGAAGTTGATTTTGTTTTAACGTGATTTTATTGTGAATTAGAGTACTGCTATCTCAGACTATTTCCAAATTTAACGCGTGCTTTCAGTTGCTGGAAGGATCATTCGCTTTCGTAACGAGGTCGAACTCAATATCAATCCTGGTTTGTTCGGAGATCTTACTTGAAGATAAGTGGATATACATTTGTGTTGGTGACGTACGAATTTATAGTCCGTATTTAGCACCTTGCGACTACCATCTTTTCCCAAAGTTGGAAAAAACTTATGAGAACAAAAACCTACATAACATAACTGGTTACCAAACTGGCAGTCTACCAAGTGAGTAATAATATACCTTTCACGAAAATTTGAACCAGCAAAGAGTAGCCGAAGATACGAGCAGAAGGAGGGACGTCTGGACAAGTATAGGTAATTAAAATTTTCCAAAGAAGAACACGTCTTTTAATAGTTCATAACATTATTTTTATTACAATTCATCTCTCATTGATGCTTCATTTTCGTCATCATCGTCGTCTGGTTTTTCAACAGTAGCTCCCACTTTACCGCCGCTGGTAACAAATCTAGCGATTTCTTTAACTCGTCTTGGTCCACCATACTCAATCACCTTATTATCCCCCTTTCTATACAAGTGAAATGTTGGCAAAGTTTTGACATTGACATTATCCAACTCATTGGCGGTTACGTCTAACCTCGCGATGATGACGTCGCTCGTCCCCTTGAAGTGCCTGCCGACTTCTTCGTATTCTTGGTTCATTTCTATACAGTGAGTTGATGTAGGTGAGCAGAATTCTACCAAAACGTCTTTACTGGCATCAGATACGACACTGTCGAAATTGTCGGCAACCAAAGTGTAGACGTCCCCTTTATCCCAGCCCTTTGGAAGCTTCTGTCGTAACCGGTACTTTTGAAGTTTGTCATCCAAGAAATCGTTTACAAACTTTTTAATGGCACCCGCGGTAATAGTAGACGCTTCTAATTTAAAAGTAGAGACCTCGCGCTCACTTTCGATCCTAATAATGCGAATGGTGGGCGTTTCTTTTTTGTTCACCTTTGAGAATTCCAAAATGAAATCATTGTCCTTCACGTTAATGTCAACGGTACTGAACGTAATTTTCCCCTTGAACTGTTTGGCGGCCGATCTTGCGACCTCTTCAACCTTTGCTGTCCCAGTCCTGGACTTGTTGAGGAAAACAAGTAGGCAGTAATGGCGGCCATCAGAGTACCGAGCTTCGGAGAAGTCAGCTAGTAGAGGTACCGACTCTACGTCGAGGAACTCGTTGAGATTATCCACGTTTAGTTCGCCTTTAAATTGTACTGTCCCATCATCGAACTGTAACCTTTGAAGTTTAGCCTACGAAATCTGTAGACGCACCTACCTTTTTGTACATAAAAATATCACCACTGTTCGCGTTAAATTCTTTAAATACGTTCGGATCGGATGTAATACCGAAAGAAAATTCGCCGGTACTTGCCGCAACCTCTAGGAAAATCTTGGCATCATCCGACGATTGGTCTTCAAAGTACCCAATAATAGCAACTACATCTTGTTCGACAAACGCTTTGGCCGATGAAACATCTTTCAAATCCGTGGCGGGCGGTCCCATTTTCTTATTCACCCATTGAACCAGCCCATCAGAAGATCGCTCACCTACTTGCCTAGGTTAAAGTACATTCTATGGGAGTAGAAAACTTACCGCTGTAATCAATAGGAATGCCATTTCGAAAATATTTCAACGTAGGGTATCCTCCTATCTCGTACTCCTCGGCCAACGAAATTGCGTCGGTCGCATCGACTTTGGCTAGCTTAATCGGAGATTCCGAGTCGGATAGGGTTTTGGCAGCTTGGGCATACTGTGGGGCTAGCTGCTTGCAGTAGGCACACCAGGGTGCATCTAAATAGAATCATTACCATAAAATGTGGAAAAGATGACAGATTTTACTTACAAAATTCAACCAGAACGTAATCGTGCTTGCGGGTGTAATCGGTAAAATTCTCCTCTGATAGTACCACGACAAATTCGTCGAAGGGAACTGTTTCGGGACTTTTGTTTTTGTCTTCCTCAAACTGGATATCGTCAAAAACGTCGGCGAGGACAGACGCGAACAAAATTAAAATTACGTACGGTGTAATGAGTTTCATCATGTACCTAAGTTGGGATGTTCCAGATTAATTTTCGTGCCAGGCTAATAGCGCATTGAACTGAACCGTGTGTGTCACTGATTGGTTCCCGTAAAACTATAAAAGCGTTATTATCTTATTTGTCGAATCGCGAAGATAAGATTTACTAAATTTGTTATAAGTACCTAATGAAATTTTAGGTTTAGTGGATTTCAACGATATCGATGACTTATTTGATGAGTTGGACACGGAGGTTTAGAATCACTCGGCTGTTAATGTGGTCCTCAATTTTACCAGAACCGCATGCATAGCCTGTGCTGGCATCAATCAGAGTGAATTGAGTCGTAATCCGAGCTCATCCTTGCAAACTCACAGAAAGCTCGATTTGAACGGTCAACTGGGGTTGATTCGAGGTTTAAATTTGACCTGATGGTCACTTTAAAATCAGAGATAAAATAAACCCCTAAAGAGCAATTAAAAAGCGGCAAAGCACCTCGGCGTGACCCTATACGGGGTCATTAGATTTGACCCATTTTCAATTGGCTTACTACATGTGGCATATAAGTCAACTGTGCAAAGTTTGAACCAAATCGGTTCAAGTGTTTGACATATCGTGTTCACGGACAGGCCGACGGACAGACGGACATCATCGACGCTTAATAAAGCGTTGGCAATGTGGGGTCCGTGAAGTGAGCAGGACATGAAAAGCACAAAATACGGATTTAGGTTTGAGCGTTTGTGCTCTGTTTGTGCTGTTTTGTGACGTATAATAAGTATCAGCACAACCCACTATATACACACGTGTCCCTAATCTTGAGTGTAATATTAATTAAACTTCTTTCAATGTGTATATTTCTGTAAATTATTGTTTAATAGCAAAATATGGCTGTGCATGTGGGCGCGATACGCAAAGCGTTACTGCATATTCGTCAAATATATTTTTGGACGTATATAACTGAATGACTGTGGTACTTTCGGACGTATTATATAAGATAGATTATTGCATTTCAAGCATCATCTTCAAAAACAAGTTGGAAGGTATCGATGCGTGGAGCTACTTTTTTGTTTATTACAAGCATTGCTAGTGTTCACGGTGGGTATATTTACATAAAAAATCCTCGTAACTTTTAAATAGATGGCTGCATCTATTATTGGAATTTTAACCACGCAATACTACCACGCAGTGCGTATAGATTTTCATTTTCCTTCTATCGAGAGCCGTATGAGGTTACACTTCATTAAAAACCAACAGCTTCAGCGTTAGTTGAGAACGCATGGAATTTTAATTGCCATCATCCATATTTTATTAATCTCTGGCAATTGAAGTCATTAGTTTGGGTTTTCGGGAAATATTGTTAGGGCGGATTCACTTAAAAACTCCAGTAGGGATGATATAATTGTGTTTACCGTGCATTTTCTATAATCGAAGTGTACCTTTTCTTTAGGTTCGGCTGCCACAATTTTCCATCGACAATTGTTGTTTCATCTCGGATTAGCCCTCTTATTTAAGAGGTATGGACATTTTGTGATATCAAAGGGTTACCTTTGATTTCTTTTAGGGTTTCCATTTTTAGTTTTGATGTTAGTTCTAATTTAATTCAACTGTAAGGACCAGCTTATGTTCGGAGACGCTTTACCTACAATTCTGTTGACGTGCGATTGTGTAACCTTGGGTTACATTCACCGTTGTCGGCGAGTGCCAACACCTTTGATATATCTTCCACCTGATGATAACGAGCGGTCAAAAAAGAGACAACTTCCGCAACTCTTTAGCGTATTAGTTAATAACTATTTTGCTTCTTCTGGGTTAAATGCTACCAGATTCAAGTAATGTGTTAACAGTACCTATTTAATATATTTTCCATCTAGGTTAAGTTATGATCGAGTTTGAAACGTGAATGTTGTTGGCCACCACCACTTCCCTCACGTACGGACCTGTTATAGCGGCAGATTACCAGTAGAGCCAGGCCCCTCAGGCATTAGTCAATTAATTATATATCGATCCCTGTGACTTGGGAGCTTTTCTTTGATAATTTGCAGGTTTTGGAGAATTGAGCACACTTCTTGGCGTCAACTGCAAACCTTATGCGTTATATGTTTTACTTGTACTTGCTCCTATCAGGGACCCGGATCCAAATGAAATATCGGTTCCGGTTCTGCTTATATTTAATCGAAAATATTTATAACGGTTTCGGTCAGGTTTTGGTTCTAAAAAGAAATAACGGCTGGGTTCTGCGCATTTTTTTCGGTTCATAACGGTTATTTGCGGTTCTAGTCTTTTAGAAAATAAGGCATTCAAAAAATTAATTATAACAACGTGATTTGTGAATTAATAGGTGTGAAAAAGAAGTCATGAATACCAAAACTTGACGTATCGTCAGTGTAGCTAATTTATAACGACAAGGGTAATAAACGAGGAGGGAAATATGTATTTAAACTTCATTCATTACTAAAAAACAGAAAAAATACACAAAAAGTAAGAAAAATACGTAGTTTTTTATTTTTATTTTCTAAAACCTTCAATTTCGACACGAATATTAAAAATTCATAATCAACCGATGGCAATCAAAAGAGTAATATTTTATCAATTTTCAGCGCGTGGTTGCCGGCGCTTCCTTCAACTTCCAATAACCTGTTAAGAACCGTAAAAAACCGAAAAGAACCGAAAAGATTAATGTGGGTTCTGGTTCTCAATACGTTTCCATTTCTGAACGGTTTCGGTTCGGTTTTCGGTCCAGAAAAAAATACCGGTTTCGGTCCGGTTTTCGGTTTTTTCGGTCCGGTCCGGGTCCCTGGCCCCTATACGTGCAAATTTTTGTGCGGAACATCAATTTATTTCTGGAAACATGTTTTAAGATACAATGATCAATTTAATCGATCATTTTAAATTATGAGAATTTCAATTGTTTGTTGAAGTTACTGTAAGATTTTTGTGAAACGTAAGCTATAATTTTGAGTATTTGAGGGAGAATATTGAATATTTGCATGTTACGCTAGTTCATTGTGGACAGAATTTTTATTTTTGCCATTTGTTTGATTAAACCAGTATTTATTTTGGTACCTAAATTGATTTGTACTGTTTTTACTACCCTTGTATCTTTTTAATTTCATACGGAGAGAGTTAAGTTAGAAATTGAGTGGCGCTCAACCATTGGTAAGTGAAACGAAGTATGTTAACGTTATATGATATGTAAATATGCATGTTTTTCTTCATTAAACTACATACAGTTACGTAATATGTACAATTACTTAGATACATTAAATATACAACTGTTTCAATTCGTGCGTCTTCTGTTAAGCGTTCTACAATTTTGTGCATGCATTTCAAATCGTCTATAATTCTGTATTACTGGTTCTCCTAAGATTTATTACAATAAATAAATAAATAAATAAATTTCACGCGTGACGTCAACTAAGTATTTTGAATTATCCATAATTGTTGTATGGTTGGTTCTGTTGATACATATTATACGGCACAAACCAGCACAAACGATTGCGATTAAGCACGTCGTTTGTGCTTTAAGTTCGTGCGTGAAGTCAGCTGAGTATTTTGAATTGTCCATAACTTCTATGGTTGGTTCTGCTGATACTAATACAGCACAAACCAGCACAAACAGAGCACAAACGATTAAACCTAAATCCGTCGTTTGCGGTTTTCATGTCCGGTTCAATTCACGGACCCGGCAATTTGTCATGATTAAAAAAAAATGCATATGGTAAAGAAGAAAAACAACAAATTAGGTTATAGAAAGAAAGGCGATTTAAATTAGGGACTGCTTGCCTCACGTCGACCGTCAATCCTTATCTGCCAACAGATTACAAAGGGATTGCCTTTGATCGACCGTGAACAAAAATGTGGGATTTAGAATTTAAAAAAATATAGCTAGTAAGGATAGAACCACTACAAAGTATGTTGTAGAAGCAGATTTAAATAATGTCAATCATTAGTTGAGTAACAGGCTAGAAAGGGATTGCCTCAGGTTGTTTACGATAAACCAAAGATCATACTACAAGTAGTATGACATGACCGTACGTAACTTGGAAACATTTTCAACCTTTGCGACTATGTGCAAGACTTACATATCGCTTACATATACGTACGTAAAAATTACGTTCATTGTAAACACCTTCGTATGTTTCTATACAGTTCAACTTTACGAAATTTTTACGTTTTATGTATTCCTTACGTATACGTTCATTGTAAACGCACACTTACTTAGAAATGTTCATATTGTTCCCCATACTTCTTGACAATGATGAATTCGATTTATAATTTTTTTATGGAATTGTGCAATCAGTTGTTAGGAACTCAGTACGAATGCGATTTTTAATTCTTCTGAATTGTGAGGTCGTAACAAAGAGGAAAACATTTGCTGTGACTAGCACAGATACAACCCGCACACCTGCACTTGCGCAATTTTGCCCTTTCATGTCTAAGAATATGTGTACCAGATCTAATTTAAATCGGTTCAGTCAGAAATGAGAGTTCAGACGGACCGACAGACCGACATCATCGAGATTTTGTTTGATTCGGACTCGTCGTGCTTTCAAAACGTGTATTTCCGTAAAAAAAAGTGGGGGGTTATGTTTTACCTCAATGCGATACCTCCATTACTGACGTGCGGGTGGTAAAAATAAGCTTTCTTGGCCTATGATGCCATTTAAAAAAAATTCAAGATGGCGATCGCATTTAAAAACGATGTGCTGAATAAAACTTTTTGAACCTCAAGATATGTGAAATAATGTCAAATGGAAGCGTTCTAATTTTCACGTATAATGGTTTTAGCGTTCGAGCTTTGGCTCTATCTTTATCAGCGACCCCGTATAAAAATAGCTTGGCTAATTCAAAATTAACATTCCGAGGTAAGCTTAATTAAAATTAAAATATAGGTACAATAAAATAGAAGCTTTGTTGGCTAATAACATTTACACGTAGCCGTAATATCTTAATGGGCCTTTAATCAATAAAACAAAAGTAAGCTACATAACAACACAGTAATGATACCCTTAACATATCTAATTCACGGCGATTGAAGAACAATCGAACAACCACATTTTTACTATGCTTCTTATTGGTCTTTTCCTAAAGTAGCATCGATTCACATAGAAATTGTCTGGATTGAGGATTCCCCTAGGTTGAAGTTTATATTAGTGGTATATGAAGTTGCCATTGATGGGCAATTGTCCGAAATATTTAAATGAATTTGAATTACAATTCGCCCAGTATCTTACTGAGTTCATACGGCCCTAGATTTCCTAATGTCAAGGTGCGACTTTGTTGGTAATAGTGTAAATTCTGCAGGGAATTCAAGGGAAGTTCAATGCTTGCGTATAATATTTTTTGTGCGAATATGACTATTTTTAGTCGCATGGTTGTAAAACGAAACTAATTTGCCGTCGCTCAAGTCTGCGAAGGAGAACCACTCATAAGCCGCTCTCCCGAAAATGTATACCGGCCGTACGAACTGTTTTGTGTGAAGGGGTTGAATCACTCAATGTAACGTATATCTTTTCGTGAATCCGCATCACGGACATCTCCAAACAGAAAAAAAATGTTTCATACCACGAATTCTAATTTTGTCTTCTCTAACAAGACCTCATTAAAATTACTGTTCAAACAAAACCTATTGTGTCTTTACTGTACGAATTAAATAAAAATGACAAGCTGACAATATATTTTTTTAATTGCCCCTACGTATGTGATATTGTTATCCTTGCCACAGAGAATCTGAATCGTTGGGTGTCAAATAGAGTTATGCTTTATATCAAAGAAACAAATGGATGTTGGTTGCTACGATCCGTCTGGCGGTAGATGTTTACATGGCTTGTACAGTACTTATCCTCTTCTACATAATCAAGCATTACGTACCAACCAATTAAACATGGCAGCTTCGGTCCGCTCTCCTACACAGATATTAGTCATTTACTAGAATCATACAGTGTTAGTATAATTTACCGGTGTACTGAACAGCACATCCTTGTCGATAGTATTTCAACGTAGGTATACTTTTAATGCCCTCTGCATTACACACTTGAGGATATCTGTCGCAATCGATTTGGCCCACCTTAACGGGGCTGGTCTCGTATAATCTTATTCCCAAGTTAATAAAGGCCGCGCACATTTGCTTACAATACCCGCACCAAGTCGTATCTAAAACATTGCATATAGCGTTTTGAGGCGTTGCGCACACTTACAAAATTTGACCATAATCATATTTTGGGAAGTTATTGGCCTGAAATTTGATGGATTTAATTCTATCGGACATCCGTTCAGACCCAATGGAAGCATTAGTGCTACGCTAATTAAAAAAATTGAAACCAAATTCATTTCTATGTACCTTCAGCGGTACCAGTCAAAAATACAAAATGTATGCAGTAGCAGATCGACAAAAATTTATACCACTGAAATTACGCTTAGAGAAAAGCAAGTAATGGAATCATTTCCTAACATAACATAATAAAGCAACTGAGGATTTTTTACCGTCCAATTTACTTATCACACATCAATAGAAGAGTTTCTATACAAATTGCGTTATTTTGCAATCACGATGGTAACAAACAACACCTTTGACTGCACACATGTTACCTAATAATACATTTAGATTATTATAAGCACGTGTATTACGTACATACATGGGGAATCGTTAGTTGTAAAAAGTGAAATTTCTATGTTTAGCTCTGTTCTGAAACTATTCTCATTGCGTTCCTTCAATATTGTAAGTTTACCATCGAAGGGGAGGCAGTTAACTGTGTACTATGGGAATGAGTGCACATTCCAATATTAACAATATAAGAGCAATGTCACCCCTTTCGTTAAATGCACATTTAGCAAAGTCTTTTAACAAATTGCTCCGCAAAAACTTGACTTCCGCAAATTGTAGAGACGCTCTAGAGTTGAGCACTTTCTCCTGTGTGGAATTTGCGTGGACCTTATCAAACGATAATAATCTGTGTTTTGTTTTACTCCAAAAAGATTTCGACAATTTTTTTCCCATTTTTGATTTTGATTTGCAAAATACACAAAAAATGGTTTAAAAAAATCCTGTTATGGTGTTGTGGTCGCTGTCGGACCTTTTCTTGCTAGCACAGTAGAGCCTCTGCTATAAAAAAACATAAGCTTTATTACTAAACATAGTTTACAGTGTCTCGTAGATGAACCCCATTGAATTTGAGCTGGATCCTCCTTGATAGATCCCTACTTTTAGGGGAAAATTTGTAAAAATGAAGAAAAATTTACTGAGCCAACTTTCTTATTTGTGGAACGATTTTTTGAAATTTCAGCAGATTCTATTCTTTTAAAAACAAGTCGATTCTTTAGGACAAACTTGTCAAATTTTCATATTGGTGGTACGATCTTTCTGAACGACACTTTTCTTTTTGTAATATCAGATCAGTGTTTGAATATAATATCACATTCTGGGCCGGACAACAAAAAAATTGTAAAAGTTGGTAGTTACTTTCATTGTAAGAGGCTCACAATGGATATTATTATTGTTGATGGATAATCCTGAGGATATTGTACGGTACCATACATAATGAAAGGGAAAATTCAATTATTCCGGTTTTTATGTTCTCGAAAAATCCTAGAACACGTTGATTAATGTTGTCACTAGCGGGTTTTTTTTGTATAAAGATTGTATATACGGTGTGTGCCAAGTAGGAAGTGTAGCGTCGCAGTTATATTCTTTAAGGGGAACACTCTGTAATTGTGTCAATTTACAATTCTTTTATACATTTAAATGCTGACCATTTGAAATTTACGTTTTCAGTAAAAGAACAGGAAGAGGAACTTTTGGATTAACAAAAGAGCAATAATACTTAACAAATAAATAACAGTTTATATGCGTAGAAATTACTTTCGAGAAATAACTTCATAAAACATTCATTTTCATGTTAGGGAATATTAGTTTCAATGGAACTTCGCCTGACTACTTCTTCTTGTCCGTATTTATTGCGAACGCAGGCAAATCTGCACCAGATTCTCAAAAGCATGGACGCGAGAATTTGTTTATGCACAGGAGCCGCGATCATACTATATTGAATATTAATTTTGCGCGTTTATTAATTGGGTTCTGCTACGAGTAAATGCACAAATTAATTCTCGTTAAATTTTTACCGCATGCCACCGAGAACCGAGCTTTATTTATGGCACAGTTAGTCTCGGAATGATGTCATTAAACTTTGGTGAAATGAATGCACGCCAGTGCTCGCCCCCGAAGTTAGACTGCGAACCTTCGCAATATCGCTAACTAATTTTATCTTATCTACTAAACACAGCCTGCGTTTTACTCGAAGTGTGAGTCATTATCGCTCTTATCTTCAGACATACTTTCGTTCAAGTTTACTATAAAGCGGTATAGGTGTAAATTTCCCTATGTTGACCGAAATCCAAATTCGAAAAAATAACAATCACACCAATGTAAATCGTGCATCCGTTACAAAGGGCTGTTTTGTGTTAGTTCAAGTATTTTTGGTTCCTTGTTTGAATCCTCATAAAAGTATAGCCTCTCTCAGTTTCAAGAATTGCAAATTGTTTATAAAAACTGGCCTTTACACAACGATTCGTCTATTGTGAGTACTGTAATTTTACCTTATATAGAATTCCTAAAATGAAGAAAGGGAACATCGGTTTTTCCAGCCGCCCGACGTACTCTTATGATAACGTTCAAAAATTAAAACTTCTTTAAAATTCTGCGACTAATCTTAAAATTCATGTTGATTAAGCGCGCTTCGTTTGATACCAAACACGACCAACTTTTATAACGTTTACTGCAACACGGTTAATTATACTCACTTCATTGGCCGGATTAAAATTCAAAAATTCGGTAGTCCAATAAGCCCAATCGTTAATTGGTGTGTTTAGGTTAAATCACAAAGATCAGCGCTACGTAAACACAGCCTTGCAATTTTATGCTCGTTTTCAATTAACATTCAGAAACCAAAATCGGTGTAACGGTTTATTTTCTCTATTACGAAGCAGCCAATATGTTGAAAGATCCTTGCAACTCTTGAATAGATGGCTCCTCGGATGGCTCCATCTGTTGTTGGAATTTTAACAACGCCATTTTACGGCGCCGGCGCGCCGTGATTTTTGGTTGTCGATTGTTGGCCTTCATTTTCCTCTTCCTTTTGTTAGCCGGAACAAAGTGCACTTCATTTTAATTGCCATCATCTATATTTTATTCATCTCCGGTAATTTGATTAATTAAATTAGAGATTCTGGAATAATTAATGAATGAATTCTCCTTTAATAGGGGGGTTATAATTGCGTTTTTTCTCGCTTATTGTAAGTACCGCCATTTGCATTTTCCGTACCTTTTCTTTAGGTTCGGCTGTTATTTGTTATACGACAATTTTCCACGGACGTATGTAGATTTTATGACATTAATGAAGAAGGTTACCTTTGATTTCTCTTAGGGTTTTAATTTTACTTCAAGTTTAAATCTAATTCAACTGTAAGGACCAGCTTAAGTTTCGGAAACGCTTTATAACGTGAGGTTAGTTCGGCGCTGTAAAACTCAAACCCCGCCGCATAAACGGCCAGCTAGCTCAGATTCTTAATTAAAAGAAGGGCTCGAGATGAGAATCTTCCACAGCGGTTTGTTCGTTTGGGCATATAACATAAGTTTTGGATCTTTGGTAGTTACTAGAAATGATTAGTTGAGCGCCACCCAATTTTGCACAAATTCTGACCTCTCCTGTATAGAAATTGGGAAAACACAAGAGAGCCAAATAATAAATTCACTACGAGCAATTCTGATTTATTAATCCTGACAAAACGGTGCAGGATCGGCAAATAAAATGTATCTTCAATACGACAATAACAAATACTTTAAATGACAAAAATAATCCCCAAATAAATTCCTGAACACTTCCCTAATAATTACGTTACCAGCCCCCTACAACAATGATCGAGCAAAAATGTAGTTAAGATTTCAATGGATTCAAAGATTGAATTAAGTTAACCCGAATAACAACTCATATAGGCAACACTGGGTACAAGTAAATTAAAAATCTTACCTTGAATCACACATAAGCTGTCTTCTCCGAAAAAGAGCTCTCCTTCGAAGTTCCAGTTCTGTAACACAAAAGCAAACCCCAAGCTACAACGCTCGGAACGATTATATGAGCCAGAAGGGCCAAAAATAGCTTACTCGTAGCCGGCTCGTTTACCCATACGTTAAATACAGGTGCGTTGCTCTTGAAGAGAGTCACGACCTCAAACACTTGATGCGAACAAAATACAAAGCTCCGATCATAAATCGTCGGAAGGTTACACTAGATTAACGGTATTGAAGCAAATAAAAAAAGGTTGTGTAAAAGATCGTATCTTCCGAAAATTCCACAATCAGCTGGTCGCTCCCGGTATCGTTTAGGTGTTAGCGCTTATCTACTCGGTGGTACGCCGGATAGCTGCCGGCAATCAACAGGTGTTCGTACTCCGGAATATTCGCAAGATGCAAATTCATTTACCTACAAGAATTCGTCTACTACCTGGACCCCCTGAAATCGTCAGGAGGGTAATGAAAAATACTTAAATCAATGAAATATGGAAATTATCCAAGAGGTTGTGAATATGTAGGTAGGGCGATGAACTTCCACCAGATATATAGCCTCACAACGGAGAAAACGGCTTCTGAGTTACTCTACTCGACAACGCCAATAAACAGGTAAAATTGCCAGAGATTTTACGTGAATGATGGCAAATATTACCCACTGGTTTTAGAAGAATTCACAATGCCACGCTCTACAAGTACAACCTCGTTGGTTTTAAAACGGAAATGAAGTGAAAAAATTACGCGATTCTGCGCGAGGAAAGAAGCACGCGTACAAGTGACGCCATCTCACCTATATCCTGCCTAACGTAGCAAGCGGTAATTTTGAAATTTGAATATAAATAAACTAAACTGTTACAGCTTTACACCTTTGACATATCTTCCATCTGCTGATAACAAACAGGTGTTTTCTGGAATTGGGTCACCGGGTCATGAACGACATTTGATATCGGGATTTGATCCTCAACCAAGAGACAACTTTCGTAACCCTTTGCCGTATTAGTTAATAACTATTTTGCCCCTTCCGGGTTAAATGATATCACATTCAAGTCATTTGTTAATATTAGTAGCTTAGTGGTCCGTTTGACGTAGCGGTTTAAGACTCGGGCTTTAACCTCACAGATTGTAAGTTCGAATCCAACAACTTTGCCATCTCGGTTAAGTTATGATCGAGTTTGAAACGTGAATGTTGTTGGAGGGAGTGTTGTTGGCCGATAAAGTACCGTACCTGTTTTAGAAGCATATTACGAGTAGAGCGAGGCCCTTCAGGCATTAGTCAATTAATTATAGGTATACCGAATTTGGAGCATAGATTTTTGTTACTATTGAGTCAAAGGGGCTGTTATGCGTTTTTGTCCCATGATAGGGCAGAAATGCTACAACGATTTTTTGAGATTGAAAAGCGTTTAGTGTGCCAATTACTGACAATGTAAGTTCAACTTTTTAATTGTGCCATTGTGTAGCTTATCTTTTTTCGGGCCAAGTGAGAAGGGGATTTTAACTATTTCATTTAAAATGTGGTCTTAGCGTTATTTTTTTAATGTCAAAGCGGTATCCGAAAATCTGATCCAAATTGATGCTTTCTACAAAATTAAGCAGTACTCGTCAGCCATTGAAGCATCGGTTTTGTGGTCCGTTGTCCTGTACAAATATGGTCGTTTAAACTCGCACTATGCTCAATATGTATTATAATTTACCTTTGTATTCAGTGGGAGATCCATTTCGATAGTATTGGAGCGTAGGCAAACCTTTTATCCCAGCTTTGTCACACACACGACTGTATTTTTCACAATCTACTTCAGCCACTTTAATATCTGAACCAGTATCTTTTAGTTCTTTTGCCAATTTAATGTAAGGTTCAGCCATTTTCTTACAGTAACTGCACCAAGTCGTATCTAAAACAGAAGTAATTCAAAACAGCGGGTAACCAAGAGCACACATACAAAATTTAACCATAATCTTGTTTTGGGAAGTCATTTCATTGAAATTTGATTCTGTTAATTTTATCACGTTCCCGTTGGAACCGAGTGGAAGCACCAGTACGATGCCGATCAAACAAAGTGGAAGGGAACTCATTTTTGTGGCAGCCACAAATGCCAAGGATTGTAGTTCGCTGAATATTTATACCTTTGCAGAAAAAAGAGGAATGGTTTCGACGCTTAACCAACACGGCAGTTTTTTAATTTGAAAATAAATATTACACACGTTAATAGAACAGTTTCTTTACAAATTACGAAGCATTAGTAAGCCATTATGGGTACAAAAACGTGGTGGGTAATTTTCGCTTCATAATGTGTTACGCATAATTTACATGCAGTTGAAAGGTATGCTATCGTTAATATAAAAAATTTATGCAACATTACCAGAAAATTAATCACTAAACTTATAAATAAAACAATTTAGAAGATGCTGAATTGCCTTTGGCCCGTCCCGTAACAGTCCGTTGCGCGCAAATTTCTGATACGTATTTTTCCGGCAGTCATCCGGTGTTTCGAAGTCCTGCTTTGTCAGTAAAATGAAGAAGAAGTGATATAGGAATAGTTTCCCGATTGATGTCTAAAGTGAGTGTTCACACATTTAATTACAAGTTATAGAAGAGGAGATGTTGTGTAAATTTTAAATTTTGCATCCGAGCTGCCATTTCAACAATGTCAATCGTCATAGAACTCGTTTAACGTCCGTCTCTTTTCTTAACAAAATACTACGTCTTCGAAAAAACAAACCGCACCTCTGTTTTCTTAACGGCGATAACACGCCCTTATCTCCCAATTTAATCAGCGTACGCAACGATAACGACTCTTATCGCAAACCGGAGATAAACTTTTACAATAACTATGCAAATATTTCCATAGTCCCATATTTTGCTTACACAAAAAAACAATTATTTAAACAAAATAAATATCATGAAATAACTGACGCAACATTGTCATCGAATTCAACCAATATGATCGGATTAGCGTTTACCCTAAAAATTACCGACCACATTTAGCCTTTAAAATAAAATTAAAATGGCTGGTGGCGAGATGTCTACATCACGGCGAAACGGCGACTAGTCCCAATCCCCGAAACATCTAACCCACGAAGGGTCACATGGGAAACACAACACAAGAATACCCATTTTGTGCAATATCTTAATCTGTAAAATTGACCATCGGACAGGTTAAGCATGTTTGTGGTTGAACTAAATGAACAATCTAATTCGCCGCATAAACACACTTTATGTGGGGTAAAGTGGAACATATTTTATGAATTTCAAATTGATAAATTATAAACAAATTTTCACAGATGTATTCCAGTAGCTATGGTATAATTTAACGTTGTTGCTTTTAACAAAATTCGTGTTTTCTTCTGGCAATGGTTTTGATGAATGTACATAGGCAATGCTTTAGAAGTTCATTCACGAATATATGTACGTTCCTAGACATCTGATAGTAGTGTATGTAGTGCAGACTGCACATCCTGTGTTGGTTGGCTTGTCAGCCATTGAAGCATGGATTTTGCAGTCCGATACCCTGCACAAAAATGGTCATTTACACTCACCCTTTGGTCAGTATAATTTACCTTTGTACTCAGTAGGATATCCATTTCTATAATATTTGAGCGTAGGGATACTTTTCACGCCCCCTTTTACACACGAATTACGATATTTATCACAATCGACTTCAGCCGCCTTAATGTCGGAGCCAGTATCCTTTAATTCTTTTGCCAAGTCATTGTACGGCTCAGCCATTTCCTTACAGTAACCGCACGAATTCGTATCTAAAACAGAACTCAATGTACAGATGGCCATCAAGAGCACAAACACTTACAAAATTTAACCATAACTTTGTTTTGCGAAGTCATTTCATCGAAATCTGAGTCTGTTAATGGTATCACATTTCCGTTCGAACCGAGTGGAAGCACCAGCACGATGCCGATCCAAAAAAGTGGAAGGAAATTCATTTTTGTGTACATCGCAGGTATTAAGAGATGTCGAGAATACCTATACACAACAGCAGACCACCGAATATATAGACGCCCTTGTAAGAAAAAAAAATGTTTTTGAAAACGAACAATATAATTTCATGATACGCAGTAGCTTAAACAAAATTACATATTACGTCAATGGCACTGTTCCTTTACAAATCGCGGGTATTTTCCAAGCATTATTACTCATTAATGTGTTACGCAATATTACATTCAGGTCCATTGGTGTACATACAAGTAAACAAAAAGTGTCATCGTGCCTATAAAAGTCATATAAAAAATTTACACATTAGCTAACTAAACCTAATGAATAAATAGCAGGTACCATGAAGGTGACTTCTATGTAAAGTAACTGAACTCCATTTATCAAAACTAATTGACCGAAACGACAATTGAACAAAGTAGCAATTTGTCTTTGTCTAGCGGTTGGTCGGCGTCGATGGTAGGTGGCCAGGCTTCCACCGATATGGCACAGTCAAACCAGGTAGGCAAGAGAAGGTGGGTCCCTTGGGTCAGGTTCTTCCTTATTAAATGAAAGGGTTCAAAAATTTGTTTTTCTGACCTCGTTGCCAATATTTCCCGGCCAGTAATGTGCCAATTTCCTGAATTTTATGTAAATAAATGTTTCGAGCAATTTTGTACGGGTTGGTAGTAATGGCCAGAAAGCCCAGGTCGCGAGGTCGACCTTCGCAAATTTTGTTGTGTAGTACCGTTGGAATTTAAGGTACCTAAGTTGTTACTGTTAAAAGGGTTTTTTAAAATGCTATTCTGTTCACAGGGGAACCCAACCAGGCAGAACTTAGGCGCACCAAAGGCCCATTGTGCCTACCCTTTCTTTCGAAGCTAGTTTCAAAGCTTGTTTCTCTTAATGAAGGATAGCCTTAGTTGCTTCACCCTCCCCGATTCCAGATAGCTATCTGTCTTTGATCAAGGCGTCACAGTGACATACCACACCTCGCCATAGAACTTGCACGTGGGCTCTCCTACACGGTATTGGACGTTTCGCTGTCTCCGTGTTGCCGGCGCCATCTCACCGTCGCCATTTCGCCGTCAGCATTTGATATTTTCCTAGTCGGTAATGCAGAAACATCCATCGCGTGACGCGCGCCAATATCAATCCTAATAAGATGGCGGGTCCAGTTAGAAATGTAAGGTAGCAGGTAATATCCAAGTAGATCGTAACGAAAAGGTAATCCAAAAGAAAAACGCAAGAGAAACAATAAGAAGACTTTAAGGAAAGCTTGAGTATTAAGAAAAATGCTACGTCATAATCTAACATACCTCGTACTGTTTATATGCATATACCTCAATAGAGCAGTCACAGACCTCAAAAGAAAGAGAGAAACCACTCCAAAGGTGACAGCCAAAACTATAATCCCTTTACACAGGTAAGACACAAAGTCAGTAAAAGTAATGGCGTACCAGGAGAGAAATTTGCATGTAATTAATGCGACGGCAGAATCTTCACTGAAGGGAAAAGAAATAAAACTGAGCGAGAAATACCACTGGTGGGTAAGATACAATTTAAGAAGAAGGCGTGGCATTAAGTGCAAAAAGGTACAAAGCGTGAACTCCAGCAACAAGACAAACAATTATTGTAAAAGAAACCCCTAACACTAAGATGACCTCTATTGGCGAACTAAAAAACTAAGGTAATAAAAAATCTACTTACATCTCAAACCAATGGATTACAAAGAAAATACCTAGATGGCTTAAGAATACTGAACTTAAATATCGAATTTAAATAAAGCGTAACAAACTTGCTCGCTTATGGACCGATCTTGCAGAAATTTTACCAGTAGCGCTTTTTAATAAAAGAAAATTGATAAATTATATTAAACATTCCTAAAAAACACAGTCCTAAAATTACGTGGTTACAGGATTCCGGAAGTTGACCCAGTACGAAATGCCGGCCAGTTAGCTTCAGGACTGGGTTTTGATGCGGTTTATGTAAACAGGATTTCCGGAAGTAGACCCGGTGCAAAATCCAGGCCGGTAGCTTCACGACGATTACTTGAGCTGGAGGAAATTAAACACAAATTTATAATACAACAACAAAGTTGATAGAAACCTCTATTGTTAGACCAGAATCCACCCGTAGCTAGGCATTTTCGAAGGTTTAACAAACAATCGAAACGTCAATGATTCAAAGGGGAGGTAGCTAGAGCATGGGAGTACATTTTTATCTTACTAGCTTGAGCTAGGTGGGTATTGCGATCATAGTTTTTTGGACCGTCTATATGTACGTACGGACGTGGCCAATTTTTCGAGATAGCTAAATTAATTTTCGCGATAACAACGTCCTTATCGCAATCGAGCAGATAATACTAAAGTGCTCTGGACCAAATGTTCCTCAATTTTGAATATTAAACAATACGACAACCGAAATAACGGGCTAAATTTCAAAAAGACTATGGAGAACTCTCCAATTGTGCAGCAGTTACGCAGCCGGTCAAATTTTCCAGATTTAAACAGTAAAAACTTAATAACATTCAATGTTAGATGAGTTAGGGGCTTTTTTATTAGATTCTAAAAAAGAATATCATGCGATCTGTTTGAGCGAACATTGGCTAAAGGAATTAGAGATTAAGTCTTTTGTTCTTAATAACTTCTACGTTGCAGATTATTTTTGCAGAACATACTTCAGACACGGAGGAACGATGATCCTTTTAAACAATTATGATACGCGAAATATGCATAATTACGTACCTACTTATTTACGTCTTAAAAAAGGTCAGTACGGCCCTAATTTTTTAGGCATAAAATTTTTTAATATGTTGCCCACCGCTCTCAAACATTGCAATGAAATGGAGTTTAAATCTAAAATTAAATCATGTCTAATAAAAAAGGCTTTCTATTCACTAGAAGAATTTTTGACGAATAAATGTTGTGATATAATGGAATAGTTTGTATAATTATTATGTTTGTTTGTAATTTATTATATTCGTTTGTCTCTTACATTGCATACTTAAAATGACTTGTGTAAACACCACGTGTAAAACATCAATAAAAAAAAAATAAATAAAAAATAAAATAAAAATTAGTTATTTCAACCTAAAGAAACGTCCATCTGATGTTGTTTTACACAACAATATATAAATGATTTAGTGGGCAAATCACAAACAATCATTGATATCATACATTTAAAGTTCTTGGCACCGATCATTAATCCATCTGTACCATATGTAACACATTCACGGACAAACTGATCTATGAATTTATTGGAATCAGTGGGCTCCAAAAACACAAAGTAGAACTTTTACTGACATAGGTACCAAAGACACAAGTAATCAGTAATTAAAACTGAACAGCACATACTTAATATTTATTATACATTATAATTTCATTGCCTAGAAGATTTGGGGTGGAACTTAGTTGTCATCAGTAACGAAGTTCAATTAAAAATGAGATTGATAGATCAACGCATTTAGAGTTTTTCTTAATTTACAGAATATGACTTTATTATATTATTTTTCTGTCGCGCACTATACGAATGTAACTACCTACATATTATTATAACTGAAGAGTATTATAATAATTTTGTGAGTGTTTCGTCGCCGAGTTGACCATTTCCGAGCTTCCCATCGCCGAATCAGAATCGCCGACTTGACCTGACCAGTTCCTATCATCCCACTATCGAGTGGCGAATGCCAGAAATCACCATTTCGCCGTGCAGACGCACTTATAACTATAGAATATGCAGTAAATTGGAAAATATTTGATGAAGACGCAATTTGAAATTGATAAATTATAGACTAATTTTCACACATTCATTTCAGGAGCTATGGTTTAATTTAACTTACATTCGTTTGTCCTCCACCAAGGTGTGTGCGATGGATCTAACATGCATGAACATACGATGATTCGAATATACGTTCCTTCACATCTGTTGGAAGCGTATGTAGTCCACATCCGGTCCTGTTTTGTTTATCAACCATTGAATCATGGATTTTTTCCAGACACCCTGCACAAATATGACCATTTACACTCACCCCTTGCGTTAGTATAATTTACCTTTGTATTCAGTAGGAGATCCATTTCGATAATATATGAGCGTAGGGAGACCTTTCACGCCACTTTTTATACACACCATACGATATTTACGACAATCTACTTCAGCCACCTTAATATCTGAGCCAGTATCCTTTAATTCTTTTGCCAAGTCATTGTACTGCTCATCCATTTCCTTACAGTAACGGCACGAATTCGTATCTAAAACAGAAGTAAATATACAGAGGGCCATCAAGAGCACAAACACTTACAAAATTTAACCATAACTTTGTTTTGCGAAGTCATTCCATCGAAATCTGCGTCTGTTAATTGTATTACATTTCCGTTCGAACCAAGTGGAAGCACCAGTACGATGCCGATTAAACAAAGTGGAAGGACATTCATTTTTGTGTACATCGCAGGCACTAACAAATGCCGGGAATAGAATATACACAACAGCAAACCACCAAATCTATAGATGCCCTTGTAAAAAAAATTGTGGAAAACGAACAATGTAATTTCATGATACACAGATGCTAATGCAAAATTACCTATTACGTAATGGCACCGTTTCTTTATAAATCGCAGGCTATTTTGCAAGAATTATTACTCATTAATGTGTCCATTGATGTACATACAAGTAAAAAAATGTCATCGCGCTTATAAAGTATATATTGAATTCAAAATGACTGCAGTTTGAATTTGGCGCTTAAAATTTTAGTGATTTTTACTTAAGGCGTTGGTGGTCATGGTTTTCCCCCAATACACAAATCGCAGCAACATTTTACAAGGAGAACACACTATATAAGGATTATATAACCCCAGTTTTTAGTTAGAACCGAGAATGGATTTTACCCCTGAACATGATGTGTTCATATTAATGGCATTGCCCAACACCGTTTTTCCGTACGATACTTGAACTGCTCGTTCTCTTGTTGACCTTATCTGTGGTTTTCGTGGCCAGAAGCAAGAGATCAACTTCTGGTGGCGCTCAAGAATACCGCACCGTCTCCGCTGAGTATCGAAGACATCTTGATT